TATTCTAAACAATAGGATAACTGAACAATAGGCCATGATGTATTGGAATAATAAAACTGGAGACAATACTCTTTAAAACATAGCGTATTCAATATATGTGTCCCTTGAGGGGAAAGTCTTTTTATTTTTAAAATTTTTTATTGAAGTATAGTTGGTTTACAATGGTGTGTTAGTCTCAAGTGTGCAGGCAAGTGATTCAGTCATACATATATATGTATATTTCTGTTCCTTTCCAGAGTCTTTTCCATTGTAGGCTATTAGAAGATATTGAATATAGTTCCCTGTGCTATACAGTAGGTCCTTCTTGGTTATTTATTTATAGTACTGTGTATCTGTGAATCCCAAGTTCTTAATTTATCCCTTCCCCTTTGCTAACTGTAACTTTTTTTCATGAGTCTGTTTCAAAGTTCATTGTGTCATTTTTTTTGATTCCAGATGTAAGTGATATCATTTATTTGCTTTTGTCTGACTTACTTCCCTTAGTATCTCTAAGTTCATCCATGTTGCTGCAAATGACATTATTTCATTCTTTTTTATGGCCGAATAATATTCCACTGTGTGTGTGTGTGTGTGTGTGTGTGTGTGTGTATCACATCTTTATCCATTTGTCTTTTGACAGGCATTTAGATTGCTTCCACAGTGGGGAGTCTTTAAGTTGCTCTAGATTCTGTATCTGGGTAGGTAACCACGTGGTGTTTCTACTTGATAATTCTACTACATCTTGGGGATCTTTTGATTCAGTTCAGTTCAGTCTCTCAGTCATGTCCGACTCTTTGCGACCCCGTGAATTGCAGCACGCCAGGCCTCCCTGTCCATCACCAACTCCCAGAGTTTACTCAAACTCATGCCCATTGAATCGGTGACGCCATTCAGCCATCTCATCCTCTGTCGTCCCCTTCTTCTCCTGCCCCCAATCCCTCCCAGCATCAGGGTCTTTTCCAACGAGTCACTTCTTCACATGAGGTGGCCAAAGTATTGGAGTTTCAGCTTCAGCATCAGTCCTTCCAGTGAACACCCAGGACTGATCTTCAGGTGGACTGATTGGATCTCCTTGCAGTCCAAGGGACTCTCAGGAATCTTCTCCAACACCACAGTTCAAAAGCATCAATTCTTCGGCGCTCAGCTTTCTTCACAGTCCAACTCTCACATCCATACTTGACCACTGGAAAAACCATAGCCTTGACTAGATGGATCTTTGTTGGCAAAGTAATGTCTCTGCTTTTAAATATGGTATCTAGTTGGTCATAACTTTCCTTCCAAGGAGTAAGGTCTTTTAATTTCATGGCTGCAATCACCATCTGCAGTGATTTGGGAGCCCCCAGAAATAAAGTCTGACACTGTTTCCACTGTTTCCGTATCTATTTCCCATGAAGTGATGGGGCCAGATGCCATGATCTTAGTTTTCTGAATGTTGAGCTTTAAGCCAATTTTTTCACTCTCCTCTTTCACTTTCATCAAGAGGCTTTTTAGTTCCTCTTCACTCTCTGCCATAAGGGTGGTGTCATCTGCATATCTGAGATTATTGATATTTCTCTTGGCGACCTTGATTCCAGCTTGTGCTTCATCTAGCCCAGCGTTTCTCATGATGTACTCTGCATATAAGTTAAATAAGCAGGGCGATGATATACATCCTTGATTAGTTGAGGTCAAATCATTTATAGTCCTCCAAATCCTCAAGGAGATTCTGGACCTTTCTCAGGCAAATGTTCTGCTGTTTTCTTCACTTCTCTCTCATCCTATCCAGAAACATCTTTACATCTCCCATATCAACCTTCTTCTTTGGGTCCAAAATATTTCCTTAATGCTCAGAAACTATTTCTGAAATCTTGTTTCTTCAATGGAACTTTTCACAGTTAAAAGAGAAATCTGGCCTCATCTTTATTTCTACTTATTATTAAGGGATGAAGTTTATGAACACCTATGATGCATGGGTCCTTCACTTTAAGTGTAATGGACTCGTTTATTCTGCACATGAGAAGTAATGTGAGCCGGTCTTATTCTCGTATTTTGAGCAAAGAACTTGCTTGGCACAGTAATTCTGTTGGTCACTGGTCCTTGTTTATTTTAGCAAAAAGTTTATATCACATGTGGATGAACATGAAGTAAAGTATCATTAGGTTTGTGTTGGTTTGTTAGAGCTGTCATAACAAATCACCACAGACTGGGTGGCTGAAACAACAGGAATTTAATGTCTCCAAATTCTGGAGGCCAGAAGTCTGAGATCATGGTATTCCCAGAGATGGTTCCTTCCGAGGCCTCTCTTCCTGGCTTGCAGAGACCTTCCCCTCTATGTCTTCACATGCTCCTCTCTGGGTACATATGTCTCCTTTTCTCCTGAGGACGCCAGTCATACTGTGTGCTCAGTCGCTCAGCTGTGTCCGACTCTTTGTGACCTCATGAACTGTAGCCCGCCAGGCTCCTCGGTTCATGGGATTTTCTAGGCAAGAATACTGGAGTCGGTTTCCATTTCCTTCTTCATATTGGGTTTGGGCTCACCCATATGACCTCGTTTGACTTAATCAACTCTTTAAAAACATTACCTCCAAGTTCAGTAATGTTCTGAGGTACTGCCAATTAGAACTTCAACATATATATCCTGGGAAGATCAATTCAGCTGTAACAGGGTTTAAATGTTTAGTATAGTTGTCCTAAACATTTATGACAAATTAAACCAAAAATTCCTTTTAAAGCTTAAGAGCAGGCAAGGAAAGAGAACATTCTGAAGGAGGGGAGGGTGTAAGATATTGAATCAATCTGGCTTGAAACTGGCTCAGTAATTTAGGGTAAAATTCACAGTGATTAGTCTTTTGTTCATACTTTCCCACTTTTGGGGGTCAATGAAATGTGAAGTAACTTCTCAGGACCCCTAGGTTTCCATGATTCTGTTTTAGTAACTGTAATTAGACCTTGTTCCTTACTTAGGAGCAAGCTTGGAGAGGAATTTTTATAGTCCGTGTTTGCTGGGTAGAATGCAAAAGGACCAGGGCTTGTGTCAACAAACCTTGATGTTAATTTGGGCTCTTTTCTTCTCTACTGGGCTGAAGAAAATGGCCAACAAAGTCGTTCTCTTGGCACTGTACCAGCTATGTAACTGTGGACCAGTTACGAACTTCCGCGAGCCTTGATTTAGTCATCTGTGGAATGGGGACAGAGTTGTAAGGAGGCCCTCCTTGTCTCTTGGACTATCACTGTTGCGTCCTGCAGATAGACTCTGCCCCCTTGCAGACCGTCCTGGGTACCCTGGATGGCCACCCTCCATACCTGCTGGCTGGTGTGGCCTCCATTGCCTGCGTGACACATGCGATGGAGGCCACCCGTGGCTCGAGGCCATCAAAGTGGAAGTGGGTTTATATCGGTGCTGCAACCTCACTGCCGTGTGACAGAACCCCTCTGCCAGATAGATGTCTCTTCAGGGAGGGTGGGTTAGTTCTGACTAGTTACCATAGTAACTAGTAACTACTTACTACTAGTTACCATAGTAACTTGTTACCATAAAATTAATTTTTTCTGAAGTCTCTTCTTCAGGTATTTGATAGTCCCAAATGGTTATTAGGACACTGTTTTCTCTTTCTACATCCTATCAGGAGGCAAATGGTGAAAGTTTTTGCCACTTTCAAAACTCTCAAAATAGTGGGGCAGAGATATCATTTAACACATTTTGATGGCTAAATGGACTCTAGATTTTGAGATTTGTGAACTCTAGTATTGCCAAAAGTAAGTGCCGGACCTATGTATACTTTCCTGGTTCAGAGTACCCACATAGAGAGCTTTTGAGAGGGGTAAATGAAGCGTGTGTGTGTGTATGTGTGTATGTGTGTGTGTGTGTGTGTGTGTTTAGGTGGGGAGGGTACAGCAGCATGCCTTCCATATACTTTGTTCTACTTAAATTGAGTTTTCATCCTTTGTGTGGGGTTGAATTTATATAAATCTAGCCTTTTAAAACAGTCAGATGGCTTTTATTATTAGGCTTAAATAGATAAACTGATTTCGTGTAAAATCTTCTAGTAAAACCATTAAAGCTTGTTGGCCAGAGAGTTCTCTATACAGGAATAAAGAATCCCAAGTTCTATTAGGCTTACCTATTTTAATCATTGTATAAGAATATTAAAATACAGCACTGTTGGCAGGAGAATTTGACCTGGAAAAATTTCCATAAGGGAACCCATTGAACACTGCCTTTGTCTGGCTCCACTCCTGATACCTTCTTCCCTGGATTCTATATTCATCAGAACTTTTCAGTTGCAAGAGACAGAAATTCAACACAGATAAGCTTAAGCTAAAATGGAAATTTATTTTGATGTAAGTAAAAATATTCTGGGGTTAGAAGTATCTTTAAACAGGATTAGATCCAGGGACATGTACGATATTACGGGGGCATCTTCTTTGTCTCAAATGGATTTATTAAAAAAAAAAATCAGAAAAATGACTCCCAGAATCTCCAAGACTATATCTTTATGACTTCTCATTGGAAAAGAAGAAGGAGACTTTGTCTTCATTTGTCCACGTAACAAATGTCAGGGGAGATTTTGATTGGTTCTGCTTGAATCACATGTTCGTCCCTGAACCTATTACTGGCTGGTGGCTAGAATAGTGTGGCCAATCACTGTGGCAGAGCATCTTCATTGGCATGTCCACTGGGATCACATGGGCTGGGAGAGGGCTGATGTTCCAGAGAAAGACTGCTTAGCCAACCGACAGATGTGTGTGTAGCACAGATAACTAGCATTGCAAGCCACTAAGGGTTAATGTTTATTCTTCTAGCTGAAAGGGAATGGAAAGGTGACTGTCAAAACGGTGTGGGATCCATCTGAAAATTTCAGCTGTGATTTAAATTTAAAATTTAGATTTAAAATTTGTTTAAGAAGATGAGAACACACTTGATTGTGTGGACCATCAAATAGTGGAGCATAATTGGTGATTCTGAGGTTGATGTAAATGTGGGCATTTTTTGGAGTAAGGGAACAAAATGACAATAATGGACTCTTTTGCTTTCTTGGTAGGGCTAGATGACTGCCTGCAGCAGTACGTCCACAAGTTTGAACGAGAGAAGATTAACGGAGAGCAGCTGCTACAGATTTCCCACCAGGATCTTGAGGAGCTGGGTGTCACACGCATTGGACACCAGGAACTTGTGTTGGAGGCTGTCGACCTTCTCTGTGCACTGGTTAGTTCAGGAAAAGATGATCTGTATTGCGATGATAGTTTTTTAAGAACCTCACCTTTTAAATCTCCTTGGTTTTGCTATCTTGCTTGTCATCATTTTCTTAATGATCCATTGAAGTAGAGCATGAGCTGAAGATAATATCAGAAGGGAAGAAAAGAAATAATTTTCTAGGAAGAGCTGGCAAACAATAGTCTGCATCTTCAATCTGGCCCGCTGTCTATTTTTGTAAATAAAGTTTTATTGGAACACAGCCATACCCATTCATTTAAGTGTTATCTGTGACTACTTTTATGTTACTGTGGGAGAGTTGGGTAGTTGTTTCAGGGACTGTGTAGCCCCTTAAAGCTAAAAATATTTGCTCTCTTGGCCTTTACAGAAAAAATTTTCCTTTTATGGAAAAAATTCTGTATTCATTTTATTTTCCTATCTTTTATAAAGAATAAAAAGATGAAGATGGTCCTGAATGAACATGTAATCTTCTCCATTGAAGTGACAAATGGGTTCTGATTTTTTTGGTGTGTTTTTGTTACATAAAAAATCGTTTTTATATTTTACAGATATTTGTGATATTTTAACAACTGATGCTGGTGCTTGAAATATTCAGCCTATGAAATGGCAGCTGGATGGGGAAAAAAAAATGTGAACTTAGTTACATTTCTCAGTTGACTGAGTTTTGGCTTGAACATGAGTGAGTTAAATCCAGCCAGGTTCTGACTCTTCATTGCATCTGTGATGTGGGGAGTATTGATAGCTCTTTTAGGTGTGGGCTAAAACCACCTCCAAGGGCATCGTGTTTATAAACTGGTTGGCATAGCATGGGATCCACGTCAATTGTGGTGCCATGCAAAGGATGCCGTTTCCTTAACTGTCTTGCTTTGGACAAAGTCGTCAGCATTCAGACTGCCCTGCTGTGAACCTGAGCCAAGGGCATATACAATTACATCACTGAGAATGGTGGGAAAAAATGTGCTCCCGATTGCTTGCCATTGGCGGTCTGCATCCCGTTGATTACATAACACTTGCTGCATTGTGCGTGTTCTTCTTAAAATGGACAGAGCCTTGTCTTCTGCTCTGAGATGCCCTACTCTTGTTTAGGAAAGTAACAGGGGAAATTGTGGTTGATGAATGAGCTGCCGCCAGGGAGACGCTGTGGCCAAGTGGTGTGAGCGCTGGCCTGGGAGGCAGGGTTTTGCATTTTAATCCAGGCTCTGCTTCTCACTCTTGGCTCTGCGACCTCCAGGGAGACGGCAGTGTCTGTTTTCCCCATTTGTGCCGTGACACTCCCCTAGATGTGAAAGCCTGCACTCTGTAGCAGCAGAGTGAGGAGGTTTTTGCTGAGGGCATATGGGACAGGGGTGATCAGTTTCCCATTTGGAGCCTTGGTAGGAGATGGGCTCCAGCCTCCCTCCTTCAGCCAGCATCCATCAATCAGGGAGTCAGTCCACCCCAAGGTGGGGCCCCCTGCGGTCTTCACACCTTGGGGGCTTCATGCGTGGGACTGCGTCAGGAGTAGCAGGGAGATTGTCCTTGCCTTCGGTCCCCGGGGAAAGTAGCCTGGTTCTTCCTGGATGGGTCCAGCTGCTCCATGGCCTTCTGGCTTGGTTCTGGAAGCTGCCACGGCCCCAGGGCGGCGCTGAGCAGCTCGATCAGCAGCTCTGCCAGCATGCCAGTCTTCTTCTCTAGAGCCTGGTGCGAGCTTTTAGACACAGCTGCTTGTCACAGGATCATGTGTATCTGGACAAAGAGAGGTCAGAGGGATGGGGCCGGGGGTTCGGGGTCAGGGAGACTTCCTCCCTGCCCTGCCGAGTAAGGCAGTAGAACCAGTATTTAGCTGTGAACTAACATGTGAGTGTTTTGCGCTGCCCAGAAGATGTCCGAGTCCTGTTTATCATTAAAACTTATGTGTTTCATATAGTAAGACATGTTTGAGTTTACTCTTGTTGCACTTTCTGGGAACATTGCTTTTTGGTCTTTTTTTGCTGTTTCAGATCATCTCTTCGGCTTTGCAGTAGTGCTTGGAGGGCAGGTAAATTACTTTGAAATCCACAAGATGGAAGGGAAGGAGGCAGGATGGACTGCAGGCTTGTTGTGGAGGACAAGCGGGATAATTAACATAACAGCTGCCTCTCTGCTTCCCCTCCCTTCCCTACCTCTTAAAATATTAGACTAAAGTGAACAAAGCTGGAGAAATGCCAGAGCCTAAAGCTGTGTTTTATCTCCTACAATTTCCTTCTAATTTCCTTTGTAGACAAAGTTTTGACCTCAGACTCTTTCTGGGCATGTTTCATGTAGCAGAGTGCCAGTGAATGCATTTGACAGGAGGGTCGTGGAAGGGTCTTAAATGAATGTGCCTTTTTTGAGTCAGGCAGGGTTTTCGAGCATTCAGTAAAATATCTTTGGCCTGGCTATAATCTCCTTTTAAAATATTCTTATTATAATGCATCTGTTTATTATATCAATACTGTGTTTAATCCATTTACACCATATAGATCTTTGTATATTTAAACAAGTGTATATTTAATAAATGTATATTTAAATAACTTTGGCTCGAACAGTCCATCCCCTGGACAGTTAATATGTATTTGCAATTGTCCCTGGTATTATGAGAGACATTTCTATGTAAACAGTTTAGTGGATGTTGATTTTATGATGGACAGGAAATGAGTAGAATTAGAAGCAAGAGAGGGAGGAAAAAAACAAAACCACTGGAAAGTTTTGGAAAGAAAAGGGCAGATAGAATCTATAGGAACCTAAAGTAAGGAACTGCTGTTAAGATCCTGAAACCAGCAAACAGATGGGCCACAAAGAGCTGGTTCTGGATACAGAACAAGGAGAACTCCCTTTTGTGAACACTGGCCTTGGCTGGCTAGAGTGGCTTAGGAGAGTAACTTGTTTTCTGAGGCAGAACCAAGACCAGTTCTCAGGATTGAGCTCAGAATCCAGTTTTTCTCCCTCTGTCTGGAGCTGGGGGTGACTGGGACAGGCTGTAGAACTGCTTTTTTCCAGTAGCTGCTACATGTGACCGTTTAAGTGAAAATGAATTAAAATGAAATAGTGAAATTTAATTCCTCAGTCGCACAGCTACATTCCAAATGCTCAGTAGCTGCTTGTAGCCAGTGGCTACCATATTTGGACAGTGCAGCTGGAGAACATTTTCATCATTGCAGAAGATTCTGTTGGACAGCATTCGTCTCCAGGGTGGGATGGAGAGTTAAAAAGTACTAATGTAACTGTAAAATCCATTTTCTTTGCCAGATCAACCAGACCCTAGTTTCCTGAAGACCAAGGCAGGGACAGATGTGTTTTTAAGGTTGGAGTAGGCTGAGGAAAGTTGGAAGAGTTGGAATTCATACACATATCAAGTGATGCCATCTACATATGTGCTTAAGAAATACCTGTGATGTGTCTACCTACCCAGGGTGCTTCTGTGCACTTGTGTACCCCAGAGATGACCCATTATTCATCATTTACCATTCAGTGAAACAGTTTAAAACAATTTTTAAAAGTTTCAATATGTATTCATTTATCTGGTGCATGGGGTCTTAGTTGCGACGTGCAGGATCCTTGTGTGTTGTGTGAGATCTTTCACTGGGGTGCATGGACTCTAGTTGTGGCGAGTGGGCTTGATTAATTGCTCTGAGACATGTGGGAGGCTAGTTCTCCAACCAGGGATTGAACCCACATCCCCTGCATTGCAGAGCGGATTCTTAACTCCTGGACCACCAGGGAATTACCGCCTGCTCCCCCCCATCAAATATTATCCTTTTTGTGGGAGAAATCACGCAAGAAGAGGAATCTTTGCTAGTCGTTTGTGTTTACCTTGGTTTGCTTATGAATGGGAAAAGAAAGTAGCGGAGAAGATGTATAAGATTTGCCCTTAGCTAAAATGTGTGCTTTTGAACTGTGGTGTTGGAGAAGACTCTTGAGAGTCCCTTGGACTGCAAGGAGATCCAACCAGTCCATCCTGAAGGAGATCAGTCCTGAATATTCATTGGAAGGACTGATGCTGAAGCTGAAACTCCAGTACTTTGGCCACCTCATGCAAAGAGTTGACTCATTGGAAAAGACCCTGATGCTGGGAGGGATTGGGGGCAGGAGGAGAAGGGGACAACAGAGAATGAGATGGTTGGATGGCATCACCAACTCGATGGGCATGAGTTTGAGTAAACTTCGGGAGTTGGTGATGGACAGGGAGGTCTGGCGTGCTGCGATTCATGGGGTCGCAAAGATGCAACTGAGTGACAACTGAACTGAACTGAGCTGAACTGAAAATGTGTGCAATTAATGACACCAGAAGAGTGGACTGCGTCTTCCCCCTGTCTCATCTATTGTTTTTCTGGCCAGACCATGAAATGATCCCTGATGGCTAACTTCTAATGAAGTGGGATCTTGGTGGAAAGTTTTTAGTATATGTCTAAATTTTTGGAGATTCATTTCATTTCCTAGTTTGTACCTTCTTGATACCTTATCTTCAATTAAGCAGTTTCTGAAGGAGACAGACGTTAGGGAAAAGATTAGTGAAAATGATCAAATCTGGTCTGGGAAATTATTCGTTTACTCTCTTTCATTGTGGGGCACTTAAGTCAATAATCCTTTGCTGATTATGTTTCTACAGTACAGGTTCTTTGGAACTAATATAATCGGTTTCTTGTTTTCTTATTGTGGAATGGGGTAGAAGGGGAAAGAATTTTCCTTTCTTCCTTTGTTCCTTCTTTACTGCTTTTTAAAATCATAATCTATGTAGAAAAAGCAAAACTATAGTGACAGAAAGAATATCAGAAGTTGTTGGGGACGAGCAGTTAGGGAAAGTGACTGTGAAGTGGTATGAAGCATGTTTGGGGATGATGCAAGTGTTCTATAATTTCATTGTGATGGTGCTTATGTGACAACATATATTTGTTAAAAGTGACTGTGTCATGAATTTAAGATTAGTAAATATTATGGATCATAAAGTATATCTTAATAAAGCCTATTAAAATCTCTAAAGTACTTTAAAAATAGAATTATAATCTGTTATAGCTACATCTGTTCATCCTTCTAGTCCTATGATTTGTGGGAAATGAAAAAAAATTTTCATCTCAGTGGAAATGAAAAGAACCAGTTAACAAGCTACATTCCTCCTTTATTTTAATATTAAAAGTGGTTGGTTTATAGAAGATTGAGGTTTAAAATTTCCTGTAACACTAAAGTGCATTTAATCTTTGAATTCAAGAAATAAATGCTGTGTACAGTAATAAAAGTTCCAAGTAGTTCATGGTGACACTGGCTATAGAAAGCCGAGCTTCCCGCTCTTAGTTGAGAACTCCTGCCATAAGTTGGCAGGCTGAGTAATTAACTGAATAAGGGGACAGTTCCTTTAATCATAGTCACAAGTCCTTCAAATAGGCTGTGTCAGGTGGCTATTTATCCATTCAGTTGTGAGTCTTTGATTCTCTGAATTTAAAAAGCCATGGTGAAAATCCATCTTTTTATTTCTGTCTTCTCTATTGAAGAACAATGCCATGTTTTGGTTTCCAGAAAATGACAGTGAAAAAAAGGAGTGGATGAATGTAAGGTTTAGATGGAACGTTCCTGTTGATACAGAAGACTCATTTTCGTTATGAAATTTAGATTTTTGTAAACACTTGCAAAGAGTTTTCATTTAATGCAGCTGAAGAGTTTTTGTCTTTATATTTGTTCTTAATTTTTTTCTATCTAAATTCTTTTTTTTTTTTTTGGCTGCACTATATGGCATGCAGAATCTTATCTTAGCTCCCTGACCAGGGTTTGAGCCCATGCTCCCACTATAGGGAGCATGGAGTCCTAATTACTGTACCACCATAGAATTCCCTCTAAATTAAACAATTTTTAAAAATTTTATTAAGAAGTAAGATGCCACATAAATTTAAACTTCACATAAAATCTAATTAAAGTTAGAAATGTTTTCATTCAGGGTATTGTCTTTTGTTGTTATTGTTACTATTTACCATTGTTCATCTTGCCAAAAGAAAAAGTTCTCACAGACTCCCTGGTATATTTATACTTTATGTATCTTGACCTGGGGACATTACTCACCCCTCCCTGAGACTTTAGAAATGGGGGCTGTAAGAGAAAAAGACTGTATAATTTCAATACCTTTGGACCATGAATTTTTTGTACCTTGTTTTATGTCCCTGGATATGTTCCAGTATCTGTCTCCTAGTTTATAGTCTATGGGAACTAGAATAGAATTGTATCCTACTGTTGTGTGAAAATTGTATAAATCTTAATTATGTTGAATTGGTTCATGGTGCTTTTTAGGTTTGCTATATCCTTCTACTTTTCTGTATATTCATTCTATTAATTTTTGAAAGTTTGAAATTGAAACTCCAACTAAAGATCTTAATTCACTACTTAAAAAAAAATCGTAATATATATAGAAACTATATGTAACTTTGTTCTGTATTTTCCAAGTCTCCTGTAAATGTTGTCATACTTTCATAATTTAAAAAAGGAAGGAAAAAAAGAAATGAAGGCTGTAACAGAGGAGGGACCAAGGGACAGGCTAAATGCAGTGGGGACGAAAAGCAGCGATTAGATCCAAAGAAAGTCTGCTGGCCTTCCAGAAGGGTGTGGTTCTGGATGGCTGCAGCTGGTGAAGGAAGCTTCTAACATATCAGAGGGAATGGAGCGGGTCAGGATAGAACTTAGAGGGGTTAAGTTTGGGCTGGATCCAGGATGACTGGCCACTCTTTGTTTTCCTTGTCCAGTATCCGTCCTGTTTTCTGTCTCATCACTTTGCCCTTTCTTGGACAGGGGGTATGGAATGGGGGATACACAGCTTTGGGATCCAAAGCTTGTACCCTTGATGCAGATCGCCTTGGTTAGATCCTACTGCCTCCACGGATTAGCTGTGTAACTTTGGAGCTTTTATTTAATGTCCCTGTGCCACAGGCTGCTTACCTGAAGAATATAGATAATACCACTTCCACCTTCATAAGCTGTTTGCCTGTGATAATGTTTGCCAAGCACTTAACCCAGTTTCTGGCATAACATGTTCAATAGTATTGGCCATATATTATCACCAAATTTTGCATGGTACCACATTCTTGCTTTGGGATGCTATCGACATAGTTTAATATACCCCAGAGATATTTATTTATTTGTTTTTGTTAAAAAGTGATGAAACACCTATTTAGGACATGTACATGGAATACTGAAGTTCATCCCTCCCCCCTAAAGTGGTCTCAAATTTCATGTTGTTTCTTGGGATTTGTTCTTTATCTGGAAGGGAGTTGTTCAGTCACCAAGTCTTATCTGACACTTTGCGACTCCATGGACTTTCCTGTCCACCACTGTCTCCAGGAGTTTGCTCAGATTCATGTCCATTGAGTCGGTGATGCCATCCAACCATCTCATCCTCTGCCGTCCCCTTCTCCTTCTGCCTTCCATCTTTCCCAGCATCAGATTCCAATGAGGCGGCTCTTTGCATCATGTGACCCAAAGTATTGGAGCTTCAGTTTCAGCGACAGTCCTTCCAATGAATAGTCAGGGTTGATTTCCTTTAGGATGAACTGGTTCGATCTCCTTGCAGGTAAAGGAGTAGTCTAGGGCAATATTGTCATACGAAATGAATTTGTTAAAAGCACCCACGTAAGTTGAACATTGTTCAGAAGGAACAGAGATTAGAAGCTCACGGGGCAGAAATGACCTTCCAGGTGAGCTGATGTTTAGACAGTGCTGTTCTGTTTCTGTGCGAGTTTCATTTGATGGAAATTCATCTACTCAATGCCTGCTTTGCGTCTGCTGTCCTGGAAGTGCAATTCTGAGGGATGCATGCAGAGCCGAGCTCTGGCGGACCATGCGTCCGAGTGAGGAAGACAGTGAACAAGGTTGTCCAGAGACAATGGAGAGGTGATAGACTGGAGAGTGACCTCAGAAAAAACTTGGCCGTGTCTGAAGACTTTTTTGTTTGTCACAACTGGGGAAGGGATACTACTGATTTTAACAAGTGGAGGCCAGCTAAACATTCTACGGCTATAGGAATCCCACCTTAATCCATCCAAACAGAGAATTATTAGATTTTAAATGTCAGTAGGGTCCAGATTGAGAACCTGCTCTAGATGGTCCTGGAAGCTTTGAAGAGGAGGGCATATTTGGGCTAATGTAGATGTAATGTAATGTAAATGGCCTTCCCTGGTGGCTCAGTGATAAAGAATCTGCCTGCAGTGCAGGAGATGCTTGGGAGATGTAGGTTTGATCCCAGGGTCTGAAAGAGTCCCTGGAGAAGGAAATGACAACTCACTCCATCCAGTATTCTTGCCTGGGAATCCCATGGATAGAGGAGCGTGGCAGGCTACAGTCCATGGGGTTACAAAGAGTCGGATATGACTAAGCAACTGAACACACAGGATGAAAGTGATAAGAAAGAGCTATCTATGCCAAAATTTGTGGGAGAAGCATTTTGGGAAGAGAAGCTATCAAGAACAAAATCCCCGAGGCAAGAGTAGGCTATGGAAGGAACAGAAGGAAGGCTGGTGTGGCTCATGTGGGTGAGATCAATACTGTGGGTAAATCATGTAGGGTTTTGTGGCTGACATAGGAGTTATTCAAGTGACTCAGTGGGTTTTGAGTTATTATGAGATTTTGGACATTGTTGATTGTTTTGAATTTTTCCCTTTGATTTTTGTTTTCCAGAATTATGGCCTTGAAACTGACAATATGAAGAACTTGGTTTTGAAACTGCGAGCGTCCTCCCATAATTTACAGAATTACATAAGTAGCAGGAAGAAAAGTCCAGCTTATGATGGGAACACCTCTCACAAGCCCCCCAATGAGTTCCTGACTTCTGTAGTGGAGCTCATAGGTGCTGCCAAGGCCTTGTTAGCTTGGCTAGACAGGTAAGTGATGGGTGTGCTTTACTGTCCTATGAAAGGAGGTCTGTACTTTGCCTGAGGAAAATGAACCATTGCCCTTGGTGTAGTTCAGGAGTTCGGGGTCCGTGGTCCATTTTAGGGTCCCTTTGGAAGTTCTAGAGAAGGCGAATAACAGGAACAGGTTAACCTCAGCTTAGAGAAATCTTGAGTTTTACTGAGGTTAAACATTACTGATTATCTGGTTACATGAAGGCTATTAGTTGACTTTTGAAGGGATGTTCATTCTCTTGGCTCATTTTTGGATGTCTTTTAATCTAGAACTTCTCTGTCTCTTTTCTATTCAGATTCCTATTTTGTGTGTTACTTGAGAGGAAAACATAACAATTTAAACTGGCCTGTTGTGTATTGTGGTTGTTAATACACGGTGTGGGATCCTGGTGGCTTCAGCTTCTTCACTTTTTTTTTTTTTTTAAAGAGAATTTTTATTGCTTTCTAGGGCTCCATTTACAGGGATCACTGATTTCTCAGTGACGAAGAATAAAATTATTCAGCTTTGCTTGGACCTGACCACTACAGTCCAGAAGGTGAGTGCGTCACTGTTGTTTTCTAAAAGTTTTTTCCTTTTCCCTTTTCTTCAAAGATTTACATTCAGGTATGAAGTACCACTCTGTCTTTCTCTCCTTCTTCCCCCCCCATCCCCCCTGAAGAGCTAGGGAGAGATGAGGGGCTTTAAATTAGATGTGTTATACAGATAGTTTCTGTGAAAAATGACTGGTGGCCTTTACATCAAAGATTGCCTTCTTTTGTTTGAAAATAATCGACCTAATTATCCTGTGCTTTCTCTAAAATGTTACCACACTGAATTTTTTTAAAAATAAAAGTTCTGTTCTATACATCTGAGTCTCTTTTTCTGTTTTGCATATAGGGTTATCGTTACCATCTTTCTAAATTCCATATATATGTGTTAGTATACTGTATAGAACAGACTTGTGGACTCTGTGGGAGAAGGCGAGGGTGGGATGTTTCAAGAGAACAGCATCGAAACATGTATATTATCTAGGGTGAAACAGATCACCAGCCCAGGTTGGATGCATGAGACAAGTGCTCAGGCCTGGTGCACTGGGAAGACCCAGAGGGATCGGGTGGAGACGGAGGTGGGAGGGGGGACTGGGATGGGGAATACATGTAAATCCATGGCTAATTCATTTCAATGTATGACAAAAACCACTGCAATGTTGTTAAGTAATTAGCCTCCAACTAATAAAAATAAATGGAAAAAATAAATAAAAAAACAAAAAAAAACACCTTTGCTCCATCAGAAAAAATAAAATAAAATAAAAGTTCTGGAGTAACAACATTGCACCATAGTCTTTGTTCCGAGTATGCTATGGTATCTGCTTCTTAATTTTCTTCTCGTTTTGACCTGTGGTGGTTGGATTTGCCAGTCAGGATGAGCTCAGTGATGATGCAGTAACAAACATCCCTCAAACCTCAGCAACTTACTCTTGGATTCTCTACGTGTAGATGGGTCAGCTGAGAGATCTGCTTCAGCTCTCCTCACTGCAGGATGTAGGCTGACAGAACCTCATGTTGTTTTTCCCCAAGGCAGAGGGACAGAGAACCTGGGTGATTCTCACACTGACAGACGTTCTGGTTTGGAAGTGACACGTCAGTTTCACGCACCACTCATTGGCCAGACTTTCAAATCTTAGTGAAGGCCAGGAAGATATTAACTGGCATGTAGCAGACGCTTGTAAAATTATTTTTGAATTGAGTTGAAGCCATGAAAATGTAAGGAAGAGCTTGTTCTTTTTTCACGTCCCACTTGGTTCAAATATTCTGAGATTGCACGTTTGTTTCCACTGCTGATTTGGCAGAGTAAAGAACATCCTTTCCTCAGTTCTAACCATGCCATAAAATAGATGCAGTTCTGAAAAGCCATGTGCTTTCTGTCTGTTCCTGGAACATGAAGAGTGAAGTTTGGCTGTTGTTTCAGGTCCAGTCCTGAGCAGCCCTTGAACTTGAGGCATGTGTGACTTCATCATATGCTTTTGAGGCCATGTTTTTAGAAAAGTGCCCAGAGCAATAGAGAGATGCTGAGTTTCAGCTCTTTATGGTGTATAAAGTCATTTTGACAAGAAGTCTGATACCAGTCATGCTGCATTCATTATGTAGCCACCACGTCCTGGCATTTCTGGTGGAGGGTGCCCAGGGGTACAGATCCTATTCATAAGGGTGCCCACTCATTGCACTTGCCCTTGTTTACTGGGGCAGCCTGATGCCCGATCTGTGATTATTGGCGCTTTCTAAATGTGTGTTGAAATGAATGAGATAATGCTTTTGACAAATAAGCTGGTGAGAATTTACTTCTTATCAGGAAAAATTTAACCCAGGCTTAAGGGACACCGGAGATATTGTTTTTGTTTGTGTTTATTTTTTGTTTTCCCATTAAGCATATGCATATGCTTTAAGCATTAAGCATATGCTTCAGAGATAGACAGCTGCAGGCTCAAATTCTACCTCTACCATTAATTAGCCCTGGGACTTTGGACAATTCACTTAAAACTTATGAGCCTCAATTTTCCCATCTGTTAATTGGGAATACTAGCAATTACCTTACCAGATGATTTGCTTCAGTTTCTACAATTTATTGTGGAATAAGAAAAAAGGAGGAAGAAAGTGTAATATGAAGACACATTTTAAAATATATGTGTATTTGTAATACACAGATACATCTGAAAACCTATATACAAAGAAATGTCTAAATACAGTGGGAAATTTGGAAGAAAAGTTGGGTTTACTTTGGCAGGGAGAAAAGTGGGGAGAGAACGTATGAGTCAAGTTAAAGAAAAGAAAACATTTTGTCATTTACAAAAAAGCACGTATGTGATCACGTTTATTTATTCATGTAAGAATGGATCTAGAAGAGAAATAGAAAATATTTAAAACATAGTAAACCTACCTCAAAAAGGTTATGAAGATTAAAGAAGATATATGAAAAGCACAGTGCCTACTTAAGAAATAATAACCTATAGTAGGAAATATAAAAGTCTTTGCTGGTACCAGTTTTCTGGAACCAAACTTGTTGGCTTAAGAAGGAGATGAAGTTAAGACATATGTTAGTATTTCTTGTATTTTCTAGCTTATTTAAATTTGAACAATTGTTACAGATTAAGACTGGAAATGTATAAAATATATATGGGAATGTCATTTTATGAACTTGGGTTGAAAAAACATATTTAACTCGTGAGGAGCATGTGTTTTCTGCAGTGATTAGAGCACAGAGGTGCTTTGGCAAGTGCTAGAATTTGCGTGCATGGTTGAAGGACGTGTGGACTGTCTTTTTCCATGGGAGGTGTCATGGTAGCCACAAGGCTCATCTTGCCAGGGATTTCACACCTTCTTACAAGTGGTGGACGTGCAGTTTTTCTCAGAACTTCTTGGCAGAGAATCTTTTGAGTCTTTAGGAAGAAGCCTGTCTTTTACATTTATTGCTTTTTTTTTTTTCCTTTTTTTACTTTGAAAGAGTAAAAGCTGGGTCTCTATTATTTCTAGTGACAAGGAATATGTTCTCTTGGAGTCTTTATTTTGGTGTTCCTGTCTCTGAAGAGAGGCGTTTGTTTGTTCCTTTTCTTGTTCCTCTGTTCCACATTCTGCCCCTTTCCTTTCCTCTTTCTTGTAACTTTCTCTGCATCCTTCCCTCTGATGACAGTGTGTGTCTCTCCTGATTGGAAGGATAGAGAGTTGTTTTTTTTTCCCCTGCAAGGAAACGGCACACTTCTTTTGTGTGTGTGTGTTCATTAATTTTTTTTCTTTTCTTTTTTTAATTGAAGTGCAGCTGATTTATCATGTCATGTTAGTTTCAGGTGCATAGCAAAGTGATTTGGTTCTACTGCACACTTCTTTTAAGCCTGCTTGGGCTGGAGTCCCCAGCCGCCCCAACTGAGTCCACGAATAGATCTTCCATCCAGTTTCCAGGTTGTATTTCAGGGGAAGCCTCCTGTGGTGGGAAGGCCTTCTGACCTCTGTCTTCATTCTCTCCTCTTTGCGAGGACATGAACACTGGAATGGTGCTGACGAGGGACAAAAAGGCAGTGGCAGACACTGGGTCCCAGCGTAGAATGAAATGGGGGAAATGAGCCCTAGAAAGTGAAGTTGCTCAATCGTGTCCCACTCTCTGCGACCCCATGGACTATAGCCCACCAGGCTCCTCCATCTGTGGGATTTTCCAGGCAAGAATACTGGTGTGGGTTGCTATTTCCTTCTCCAGGAGATCTTCCCAACCCAAGGATTGAAAGAGGGTCTCCCGCATTGTAGGCAATCGCGTTACCATGTGAGCCAGCAGGGAAGTCCTAGAGAGCCCAGGAAACAGAGAAGGAGAGAGGACCGTCCTCAGAGAAGGGAGAGCCAGGGGACCATTTATTGGGCCATTTATTAGTTGGGTCTCAGATGTGGCCTACCCCGCTTGACGTGTCTTATCACATTTAATTCTCAACAGTTCTCTGAGATGGCTGTTATCCTCCTGGCTTTGCAGAGGAGGAGGCTCAGGTGTGGAGATGTTAAACCCATCTTCCAAGGCTCCTCAGTCAGTTAGAAGGTAGAGTACGGAGGGAGGGGAGCAGATGCTCTCCTTGACTGGGTCTCGGCTCATCCACGTGCCCAAGGGATGTGACAGACCTCAGCCCTGCTGTCGGAGTCCCGAGGACCTGACTTGGTTCCAGCGCTTCTTTTTTCCATTCCGTTGCCTTCATGCCAAACAGCATGAAGTCAGGCCTGCAGCTGCTTCCTCTCGGTAGGAATGGGTGTGGGAACCCACGTTCACGAGGGCGGAAGGTAAAAAGTGCACCCTTTCACACGCTGCCTTGGATGGTTCAGGGAGGCAGGAGCACCCCTCACCCACCTTGGCTCCATCACCACAGGGAGCCTGTTTTCTTTCTTAGTGGCTCCTTGGATCCATCAAAGAATCAAATATGAGGAATCATGAGGTCATACATGCACCTTGATGCCTGGGCCCCGGTGTATGGAGAGGAGCTCTCTGCCTGTGGGTGATTGCCTCATCAGCATGACTGTCCTCCTGTTATTTGGGGAGTTGTAATGCTGGGCTACCCAGGTGGTGCTAGTGGTAAAGAACCCGCCTGCCAATGCAGGAGATGTAAGACCTACGGGTTCGATCCCTAGGTTGGGAAGATCCCCTCAAGGAGGACATGGCTACCCGCTCCAGTGTTCTTGCCTGGAGAAACGCATGGACAGAGGAGCCTGGTGGGCTACAGTCATAGAGTTGCAAAGAGTCAGACACAACTGCGCGCACACACACATACAAAAGGAAAAATCATAGACACAAACCATTAGTTTTATTTCCAGAACAAGACCTTATGAATATTCTGTTTTGCTCAAGTTGACATTTACTTAATATTTCTGTCCTTCAGCTGGTTTGAATTAGGGGCGGGGTCATCATGGTATTTGATGGTCTAGTTTCATGCACAAGATGGAGGAAGAAAAGCACATTTTTGGGCTGTCATCACTCATGTTTTACAGAAGTTGCTCCTGGAGTTTGAATTTACATCAAACTCACACGTGCAAAATTGTGCTCCTAAATTTCTCTTTTCAAGTGTTTTCTCACCAGGCTGCTCTTTTCCTGAGAGTCAGTGTAAATTTTGGGAGCAGTAGAGTGACTATTATTTCCCACATTTTTATCTAGTAGAGAAAATTTAAAAAAATTTTCAGAAAGCGCTAAAATCTGATTATAAAATCATAGGGTAGAACGCCATACATTTTAACTCCTATCCCCAGTGGCAGAAAAAAATGACCTAAAATGACACTTTGCCTGAAGCAGAAATCTCTATCATTCCAACAGAGTTGATGAGTATCCTTCATGTACATGAAATACTTTGAATTTTGCTTAGGGTGCCCCAGTTTGGGATTATACTTAGTGCATGCTGTGTGCTAAACTGCTTCAGTTGTGTCTGACTCTTTGCAACTCCATGGACTGTGACCTGCCAGGCTCCTCTGTCCATGGGATTCTTCAGGCAAGAATGTTGGAGTGGGTTTCCATCTATCCATGGGGCAAGAATACTGGAGTGGGTTGCCATTTCCTTCTCCAGGGGATCATCCAGACTCAGGGATCGAATCCCCATCTCTTGTGTCTTCTGCACTGGCAGGCAGTGGTGCCAGATAAACTCTCAGGAATCGCATTGGTCTCCCTCTTCTTCGGCATGCACAGTGCCGTGTAGCTTGAACTCTTCTGCTGTGGATCCTGTTCTAGAAGGTTAACTGAGAGTTTCACATTGTCAGTTTCACTTTGGCTGCTTTCGGTCAGGACAATGGTGAGTCCTGTAATCAGCTAACTGGGTTCATAGGGTTCTGAGTCTTTTGTTCTTAAGCTGAGTAAACAATGCTTTGCATTCCGGCCCATTATTTAATGTCATCAATAGCATACTTCAAGACCACTTTTTTGGCAGCGTGTTAATGAACGTTTTGTTGAACCCCTTTCATCCGTTAAGGACTGAAATATCTGATTTAATCTCAGTGGTGCTTAAAATAAACTTTGTGGCTAAGTTTACTCAAACCCTTATTTGAAAGCTATTCTTATGGGCAGGCCCAGAACCAAAGGCTCCTGGCTTGTTGGCCCAGTGCTAGCTCAGCCTGGGGTCACGTTTGAGAACCATTATCAACTTTCTTGGACTCTGACTTCTGGCTTCCTCCTCTCTGTACAGTCTGGACAGTGGGTAGAGTTTAGTTCAGGTGATTTCTATGGACTTTCTGATTAAATAATTGGTCAGATGGGTTCCTTGGATGATTAGCATCCTAGATCTGGAGACAGTAGAGTCTTAGGAGGAGTCTAATGTCAGCCCCTTTCTTACTCTGCCCGCTTTTCGAAGTCTTCTCTTCAAGGTGGTCCAGGGGTGCAGGCTGCAGGGTCGGGGGGTGTGTGTGTCAGGGACCTCCTTGGGTCCCAGGAAATAGCTAGCAAGCTAAACCAATTGTATCTGAAAGTTTTTGTCTCTTATAGTTTTAATTTTCTTCTTTCTTCCTTTAGGATTGCCTTGTAGCGGAAATGGAGGATAAAGTTTTGGCTGTAGTAAGTATACCTTCTAAAAGTTACTGTAAAATTCCTTTTCTCAAAACAGTGGGAATCACATTAATTAAAGTAAATGTATTGTGGCTAGGTATTTCAGGATTTGCTTTGAAATACTGATGTTTGGGATATGAGTCTATTAATTTAGGTAGAAAGGCAAGAATACAAGTTATTTAACAGCATGACCAACTAAATTGGGGTATATTGGGGTCTCTGCTTTGCTCCCCCAACGCTTTTTCAAGGTATAATTATATTTAGATAGCTAACTCTCAGTTCTCAGGGTTAAACTGATGAGCAAAAATTTCACTTTTTTTTAATTAAAAAAATCTTGGCAAAAATCTTATGATGGAAGGGGGATGTACTGTGACTGTTTAAAGAGCATTTTGTAACTATTCATCATCACTTCCTCCTTTTGACATAAGCCAGCCTGTGCTCTTTTGATAAGGCCTTCCTCCTACTGATGTTGAGGAATTTAGCAATGAAACCGCTATAAATATATTTTCCATAAATAGGGAGGTTAAACACATTGGAGGCATGCAAAAAGTGTCACTTCTTGGATTCTTCCCCCTAAGAAGAAAAAAAATCACTCTTTAGAATTTCCTGATTTCTTTGGTTGTTTAATTTTGAAAGGTTGGATGAATCTGATTGGGAGAAATAACCACACGTAGCCACTATGATTTCTGCATGGAGACCACTTAATAGGGATCCTCATGTCTCTATGGTAATTTTATCTGGTCAGTGTTTGGTGTTCAGAGAATGTGAGTCATCACTGAAAATAGACCTAAATGTAAAATGGGAAACTATAAAATGCCTAGAAATAATAGTAGAAAATCTTGCTGACCTTGGGTTTGGCGATGAGTTTTTAGATATGACATGAAAAGTGTGATTCATGGGCTTCCCAGGTGGCGCAGTGGATAAGAATCCGCCTGCCAACACAGGGGACTTGGGATCTATCACTTATCTGAGAAGATCCCACATGCCACGGAGCAAGTAAGCCCACGGACCACGCTACTGAGCCCATGTGCTGCAAGTACTGAAGCCCGCATTCCCCAGAGCCCATGCTCTGCAACAAGAGAAATCACTACAATTACAAGCCTTTGCAATGCAACTAGAGAGCCAGCCCCCTCTCACTGCAACTAGAGAAAGGTCCAGCTCATCCAGCAACATAGACCCAGCATAACCAAAATATCAATAAATAAAAACAAGTAAGAAGATTAGAATAGTCTGCTTGAAAAAAAAAAAAAGGAATGCCTTGGGTTGGGGATAGATCAACTTGTTGACTCTTTTTACTAATGAAAGATGGAGCCAATCCCAGCTAGAGAGCACATCTGGATGTGTGAGTCTGTGGGAAGCTCAGGAGTGAAAAAATAAAAACGTGTGATCCATGAGAGAAAAACGGGTAAGGTAGACTGCATTAAAATTAATATCTCTGCTCCATCAATGCACTGTTAAGAGAATGAAAAGACGAGGCACAGACTGGGAGAAGTTGTTCTCAGAACACACATCAGATAAAGAACTTATATTCCAAATGCACAAAGAACTCTTAAAGCTCAGTAATAGGAAAACAAACAACCTAATTAAAAAAGCAGGTGAAAGATCCAAACAAACACCTTCTGATAAAAGATATACAGTTGGCAGGTAAGTATAGGAAAAGATATTCAGCATCATATTTCATTAAGGAATTTCAAATTAAAATAACAATGAGGTACCACTATACACTTAATAGGATAACTCAAATCTAACACGTGATGACACCAAATGTAGAGCAGTAGGAACTCTCCTTCATTGCTGGTGGGAGTGCAAAATGGTGCGGCCACACTGGAAAGCATTGTGGCAGTTTTCTTCCTTACAAAACTAAATGTACTCTTACCCTGCAAACCAGCAGTTATCCACCTAGGTGTTTACCCAAATGAAAGAAACTTAGATTCACCAAAAGCTGCATGGAATATCATAGCCACTTTAATCATAACTGCCAACACTAGGAAGTAGCCAAGGTGTCCTTCAGTATATGACTGGATAAACCTGGTACATCCAGACAATGGAATATTATCCAGCAATAAAAAGAAAGGCGCCATCAAGCCATGAAAAGATATGGAGGGCCCTTATGACCAAGTGAAAGAAGCCAATCTGAAAATCCAAAATCTATATACTGTATGATTCTAATCATGTGAGATTTTGGAAAAAGCAAAACTATGGAGAAAATAAAAAGGTCAGTGATCCCTAGGGGTTCATAGTGGGGGAGGAGGGACAGACAGGTGGGTGGAACTGAGGGAATTTTTAGGGTAGTGACACTGTGATGGTGATGCACATTGTGCATTTGTCAAAACCTGTAGAACCGTACACCATAGAGAGTGAATTCTAATGTAAACTACGGAACTTAGTTGACAATAATGTGTCACTATTGGTTGATCAGTTGTAACAAATGTACCATATTAATGCAAGATGTTAATTGTGTCTTATTATTAACCATTATAATAATATAGCTGTGTTAGAAACTGTTGAGATGAAAAAGAAAGTAGATGGAACTCTGTAATTTCTGCTTATTTTTTCTCTAAAATGAAAGCGGCTTTAGTTTTATTTATTTACTTACTTAATATTTTGGCTGTAACACTCCAGTGACATGTGGGATCTTGGTTCCTGACCAGGGATCAAACCCACACCCCCTGCATTGGAAGCGCAGAGTCTTAACCAGTGGACCGCCAGGGAAGTCCATAAAACTATTTTAAAATATGAAACGCATTTTTTAAAAAAAGATGCAGGATAAAATAATTTATTTTTACATTGTTGGTATTTGGTATGCAGAGAATGTGAGCCATTCTTAAAAAACCACAGAGATGTCTGGGAATATGTGGTTCTCTTTAGCTCCTGAAAGGGGGTTTCCGCCCAGCCTTCTGGAGCCACCCAACATCAGCAGTTGTAAATAAGTTAATCTAAAAGCTGCACTTTTTAAGCAAAGCTGGAATAATGGCACTATTCTACACATTGCAAATACGAAAGCCACGTGCCACCTGTTCATGGCGTGGTATTATCACAGTAAAGATGATCGGTGAAGTGCATTTAAAAAGAAAAAATTCAGCCGGAGATAAACTTGGTTAATGATTGACCTCTATTTGCCTCTCCAACTCTAGGTCAAGGTTTTAAATGGCATCTGCGACAAGACCATCCGATCTACCACGGATCCTGTAATGAGCCAGTGTGCGTGTCTGGAAGAAGTTCACCTACCAAACATTAAACCTGGGGAAGGTTTGGTAAGACTTCTAACAGCATTTGTTTATTTTCGGACAGCATCATTTATTAAAGTTGCTGTGTTTTTTTCAAAACAATAATTCCATATTGCTTTCACTAGAATTCTGAACAGTAGAATTAGACTGATTTCCATTATGTAGTTAAGAATTTGCCATCTTGAACTGTTGATATGTTTTATATCAAAGCCTCTTCAAAGTATAAAAATAAATACAGTTTTAAAACTGTAAACTCGTATCTTGAGGAATTGTCTTAACAGTTTTATTTTTAGGTCTTAGCAATACAAGGAGATAGAGCACATTTCCACAAAGGAAAGATGGTCTCTGGGTAGGAAACAACATCTGCTGTGAAGTCTCTATTAGCACTTAGGCTTTATGTGAGAAGAGACAGGTTGAAAGAAATGATTCTTTTTAAAAAGTTCAGAAATGTTTCAGAAGTAATGTATGAGCTCTGGAATAACAGGCCCTGAGAATACCTACAGGTCGATAACCTAGATCAGCACCTAGGTCCACATTCTTGGTAAGGAGAAATGTACATACCGAGACTGCTCCACTTCAAAGTAAATGATGGCTTATACGGACGTAAACGTGGAAGGCTTCCTGGAAGTGGGCTTTTTCACGTATTGAAGTGGAGAAGTGCCCGAGTGGGCAGAAATGGAGTTGCCGTTCCAAATGCTGACGTTATCCAAGCAAAGGCCTGTGAAGAGGAATACCATGTAGGGGGAGAAGCTGATAACTCTGATATGAAAGTGACAGGAGCTGAGAGGCAGGGCAGAAACGTGAAGGTTATTGTTGGATGAGATACTTATCCCCAAAGGCTTATAGGTTGCTGAGCAAGGCAAGTTCACGGTCAAAATGACTTCTGAGGAGGTTCTGTGTTATTACAGCATTGGTACCAGGGTGAGCACCTACTCTTTGCTCTCTCTACCTTTTATTCTTTCCCCATCTTATAAAAGTTTAATAAACATTTTTAAAAATAATACATAGTGCCTCAAACAGCAGAGATTATTTCTTCCAGGCTATGCATTCACCTTTGAGTTTGCCCACTGGGCATTTGAGATGGAGTGTATTAATATTTATGCCTCCCTTAAAATGCAGGAATGCCTGTTTCTAATTTATTTCTTATATTGTGTTACTAAGCAGTCTCTGCTCTTACATCCTGGTTTGGTTGTTTGTGGCTTGAATAAGTCACCGTGCAGTGACTGCTGAGACCAAATTAAGTGAATATATTATGTTACTACACAGAGAGATGGTTGGGAGAGGACCGGCCTTGTTTGAACTGCCTCATTCATCCAGCAGATCTGAGAACATTCCTTCTGAGTCATCAGACTTAGGGCAAAATTCTGTGTGCCTGGTACACAAATTTTAATATCAAAGAGATCTCGTTTCTGATTTCTTTCACTAGTATTTGGTTAGTTCCCCTTCACCGCTCTTTGGATCTTGTTTTACAGTGTTTCAGGAGGCTGAAGGATGAGGGGTGTTCTGAAATGACTGCCTTTAATCTTTTGTTACATCTAAGTCTCACTTGTGGCTCTGTTTCTGAACGTTGGAGTAATGGGTTAATATGTTTGTGACTCACTCTAGGGTATGTACATCAAATCGACCTATGATGGATTGCACGTGATTACTGGAACCACAGAAAATGTAAGTGCATATCCATTTAATGTAAAAGCTATTGTGCCTGCAAACAGATTTGACAGTGTCCCTCTTCTTTCCATTTAAATATGTGTATGTTGTTCTATTATCTGTAAGGGAGTGCGGGCGCCTGTTTTGTTTATTTCTGTTGTTAGTGTGCTGCTCATAACCAGCTGTCATCAATGTATTATTTAAATTGTCCTTTATTACTCTCGTTCACACACCTTGCCCAGCTTTTGCCATCTTGTGTTTATTTTTTATTTTTATTTTTTGCACTCTTGGAAGTGTTAACTCATAAATACAAAAGCAGTGATCTCTTTGTTGTCGAGAATCACTCTTATAAGAGCTGGAGTTGGTGACCATATGTGTTAAATATGGTGTTTTTTTAAAAAGTGAAATTTATATGTGTCACCAGAGCAACTATTTTCGGGTTTTTGCATGACAAAGTTTCTTTTTATAGAGCTGTATTTCATAATATTTGCATGATACTGAAATTTAGTGTTTTCCCCCCTTAATCATTTGAATAGAAAAAGCAGGGCCATTTCTGTTGTGAGGAACTTGTTGTACTCTGTTATCATCCTTTAGAAAATTCTGCCACATAAAAGGTTTTTCCTTAGTCCCTCAAACATTTTGAATTTGTGAAAAGTAGAGCTAATTGAATGCTTTCTTTATGCAACCTACAATACGGCTCGCTTTTGAATGACATTGATGCAGAGCTTGAAATGTCTGAAAAACTTCTCTGCATCTGTGTAAAAGTAGCATGTGTCTATGGAATTAATTGCTATTTAATCAAATAAGACAAGAGGATGAAATTCAAGACACAAGAAACTTGGTGACTACTTTTCTTCATCGTTGTTGTTTTAGTCGCAGAGTCATGTCGGACTTTGTGATCCCATGGACCGTAGCCCATCAGGCTCCTCTGTCCATGGAATTCTCCAGGCGAGAATACTGGAGTGGGTTGCCATTTCCTTCTCCAGGGGATCCTCCTGACCCAGGGATTGAACCTGGGTCTCCTGCATTGGCAGGTGGATTCTTTACCACTGAGCCAGCAGGGAACTACTTTTCTGATCTGGTGGAAATATGTGTTGAAGTTTGAGCTTCAGCTGCTAGGTCTGTTGATAAAATAAAATGGCATGATCTTTGATGAGGGTTTGTGACACATTGGATTGTTATAAGAAGAAAGAAAATGACACCACCTAAGGCATTCAGTGAATTACAAATAAGTTGTGTAGTTCTGGCAGACAAATGAGTAGAAGCTGATAGTGTCTTTAAGCATTGTTTGTTGGGCTACAGTGAGAGGACTCAGACCACTGGGAATTTTTATACCACGGCACCTGAGAGGCAAAAATGGCACAGGATCCTCTCCTTTTAGGCTGGGGACGGTGCAAAAAAAAAAAAAAAAAATCACAACAAATGTTCCTCCCTTATCCTTGTCAGAGACTATGTAGCTGAACATACTCATGTACCACTCAGTACATTGTTCTGAAGTTGGATAGATTCAGAGGGATGGTGAATGTCATTTCAGTTTTTACGTTTTATTTATTTTATTTTTGGCCTGGGTCTTTTTTGCTTTGCACGGGCTTTCTCTAGTCATGGTGAGCAGGCCTACTCTTTGCTGGCTGCTCCAGCTTCTCAATTCAGTGGCTTCTCTTGTTGCAGAGCAGGGCTCTAGGCGTGTGGGCTTCAGTAGTTGCAAATCTTAGTTGTGAAATCTTCCCAGACCAGAAATCGAATCCATGTCCCTTGTATTGGCAGGCAGATTTTTATTCATTGCACCACCAGGAAGGTCCTATTTTATCTTTTAAACAGTTGAAATTTTGCATCTAGTAATTTGGTGATTGCATTAACAACCCAGACCTGTGCAGTTCCAGACTCAATCAGGGCTTTGAACCAATTTCAATCTTGGATAAACATATAGAACACTGTAATATTACTTCCTTTCACTGTCTACCTCATCCCTGGCCTGCTTCCCCCCACGCATCGTCACTATTAAGGATGGAGAGCTAAAGAAAACTGCCTTTGAATCAAATCAAATGTCAACTGATACATTCTATAGAATTCCTACCAGACTCTTTACCTGGATGTGGTCGATCCTAGTGCTTCCACACAAGATGGTACCTAAGTCATCCTTGAAAGAGATGGTTTCCTTCTTGTTCGAGATCAAAGAAGGGGAAACTGGTCTTATTCCATCTGGTAATCTGCTAGAAAATGTCCCTCATTCTTGCAGTCACCTATGTTCATTGTCTGGAATATGCTACATACTGTGTAATTCTTGTCGATGACAGTGAGGAGTTAGGTAAGAGCCCACTTCTCAAGGACTTGATCTGAATATTTTATATGTAGTGCTGGATGTTTTAGACTTAAATGTTAAATGCCAGTAGAAAATGCCAGCTCCAGTACAGCTTTCTGTCTGTCACTGGAGGTTGCTATGACTTTACAGCCAGAATGTTTTTTATAAAAGCCTAGTGTTGGAGGGTGAGAGTGGACAGAATTCACCAACTTCTTTCTCATGTGAATTGTCTCTACATTCCTCTGTCTTGGACTCTGGCTGATGTGATGCCAGCAGGTCATCTCAGGCCTTTAGTCCTCTTTTTTTTTGAGGTTACCTGAGAAGTCAGGATCATTCCAAGATCAGACAAACAGGATCTAGTGATTCTCTATCTCCTTTTTTTTGATGTTGCTCAAGACCTTGACAGAAGTCTTGATGGGATCTTAGCCCTATTCCTCTTCTCCACCCCTGACATGAGTTGGGAAGTAGATGAGCCTCTGAAGAATGGATGCATTCTTCTCCAGGGCATCACTCTTCTGCAGTAAGACAGATCAGGCATCATTTTTCAGGAGTCTGGCACGTGGTTAAGGTCATCAAGAGCAACTGCCCTAGGGAGAATGTTGATATCAGGCTCTCTCTTTACCAGTGTTCTGCCTAGCACAACGCATAATCACTTGGTAGGACATTGGAGAAATGAATATGTGAAGATCCTTAGGAATGGAAGTCAGTTCAGGACACTGGGGCTTGTTTTTTTTATTTGTTTGTTTGTTTGTTTGTTTTTAAGATTGCTTATCTGTAAACAGGGACTTTCTGGTTTCAAGGCTATCTTTTATTTATTTATTTATTTTTTCGTTTATTTTTATTAGTTGGAGACTAATTACTTCACAACATTGCAGTGGGTTTTGTCATACATTGACATGAATCAGCCATGGAGTTACATGTATTCCCCATCCCGATCCCCCCTCCCACCTCCCTCTCCATCCGATAGAAAGTGAAGCTTACCTTAGCTGAATCCCCAGCCCAGGAAGATTAACTGGGACTAGACTGATTATGATCAGACTTGCCAAAGTTGACCTGTAACCATGGGTTCAGCATCTGACACCAGGGGCAAGAAAGGAGCATTGACACGTTTGTTTGTTTAAGAAATGCCTCAGGAGCAGGGGATTGGAGACAGACCATCTCCCTGTGGTACCCATGATGCTGGTCTCTCAGGAGAGGCACCGCTGGTGGTTACGGTGGCAAGTTAAATGTTTGCAAAAGTAGCTGGCATAGTTACTTGTGCCTTGTGTTGGCCCAGGTGAATCCAAGAAACTGTCTCTACAGTTTAATGCTAATCTCTCATTTTTTTTATTTTCCTTGCTCATTTCTTGTTGTGCCTATCACAACAGCTGAGTGAGAAAGTTCAGCTAGGGCGTCTTGAGTTTAGTTGCTCCCCCCATTGCTGTGTTTAGAGGTGCTATTTTTAAAGGATGGTTGTAAATTGCTTGAAGATTTCAGTTATATAAGTCACAAAATAAAACATTCTGGCTTAGATAACAGTTCATTATAATTTGAAATCAAAGTTTTATCCTTTCCTTCTCTTTTGATCATATGAAGTATCTTTTTTTAATATAATTTGGTTTTGTTTTATTTTATTCCATGAATTTATTGTTTTTGCATTTAAATAATAATAATAAACCTATACTTCTAGGTAGGATTAGACATTACACTTATCCTAAAATACTTTTCAAATTCTTTGTCAAAATGTTTAGTCTGTAAAATGTATTAATGAGAGAAAAAAAGTTGAGAAGAAATTATGGCACAGGATCCCTTTAAGATGAAATAATACTTCAACATATAGGTACAATTTATCAGGGGAAAATTTTGAAGGTATTACTTTCATGTTAAAAACCACCTAATAAGCATAAAGCTATATTCTGCATCTTTCACTTAACTGTGTGTCCATAACTGAGTTATTTACCACTGAATGTCAATTTCCTCAAAACTCCATAAAATAAGCCTAATGATATCTGTAAAGTTTGTTGGCAGAATTTTTTAAACATATTTTAAAATCATATGAAACATCTTAAACATTGAGTTACAGTTTGATTAAATGAACAAGAAACTATGAGAAAATATTTGACGAATAGATTACATTTATTTATCTGCCTATACACACATATGTGGATGTGTGTATATATATATATGTATATATATACACACACACACACACACACACACACAGATATTTGCAAATTTGTAGCAAACTATTATTTGAAACAAGCAAAGTCTGGACTTTGTTGTGATACTGTGAAAACACATCCATTTAGAATTCAACCTGAAGACAAAAAAAATTTAAATTTTCTCTAAATATCTTCTGTTTTCACTATCTTTCTATTTTAACAGTGTGCTGATAACATGTAAAACAAGTCTGAGTAAAAGAAAGACTTAGTTTTAATCATCACGTAACGAACAATTGTATGACAGAGTTACAGGGATCATCTGTACATGTTAAGCAGTTGGTCCGCTTTCACAAGATGAATTTTGACAGGGATATAGGGAAGGCAGCTTCTAGATGCACCAATGGCTTTGATCAGCCTGTTACATGGACAGTATGTGCCGCTCTTCACAGTAGGTTGGATGACCTTGTCTGTTCCTACTGACAGATTATCTGTGGTAACAAACCACTGGAGATAACACGAATATTCACATGCCAAGTTCTACAGGCTGTGTCATTTCAGGAAACTCAAGCACACTGTGTAACCGTTCTTGAGAAAATCGTATTCCCGTTGCTTATTTTGTGTAGAAGAAGGGAGACGAAATAGAAGCAGAAAGAAATAGGCGGCTTGAAAAATGAGACAGGTCTCTCTCTGTTTGTTTCTAACAGTCTCCTGCAGACAGATCTCAGAAGATTCATGCTGGAGATGAAGTTATTCAGGTTAATCGGCAAACTGTGGTGAGTTTGTTCACTGAAGCTGCAGATTTCATCTCCCCCTTCTAGAGCTTTTAATCCATTCTGCTTGCATTTTAAAGATTTGCAGTTTATATCCAGCTTTCCATAATTTTAAGCAGTGCTAGAAGGAACAGATTTCTATCTGCCTATTTGCTCATAGCTGATTTCCTTGAGATGAATTCAAGGAAATTTGAACTCCTTGAACTCAAATAGGCTTGAGTTTTCATCATTCATGAGTAAGGCCCCTCTCCTCATTGTCTTTCTTTGAAGGTGGGATGGCAGCTAAAAAATCTGGTGAGAAAGTTGAGAGAGAACCCTACAGGAGTTGTGTTACTGCTGAAGAAGCGCCCCACGAGTTCCTTCAACTTCACTCCTGCCCCCCTGAAAAACCTACGGTGGAAGCCGCCCCTGGTGCAGGTACTGTTATTGGTTGTAAGCCTTCCTTTGACATTGGTGCAGGAACAATGCATAATATCTGAGTTGTCTAAAAAAAAAAAAGGTTACAGTTTGATTGGTTTCAGGAGTGTATGGATTATCTGTGTGTGGATAATTATTCTATAATCCCATACGTACAGGTGCTCAGCCGTGTCCGACTCTTTGCGACTCCATAGACTGTGACCTGCCGGTCCATGGGATTTCCCAGGCAGGAATACGGGAGCAAGTTGCCATTTTCTCCTCCAGGGGGTCTTCCCGACCCAGGGACCCCATCTCCTGGGTCGGCAGGTAGATTCCTTACCACTGTGCCACCTGGGAAGCCCATCCAATAGTCCTACTTAGGTGAAAACAGACTTGCTGGATTTGCGCTAATATGGCAGCCACTAGCCACCTGTGACTGTTTCAATAATTAAAATGAAAGCTTCAATTCCTCTGCCTCACCGGCCACATTTCAGGTGCTGGGTGGCCACTTGGGGCGAGTGTCTGTTATCACTGCAGACACTTCCTTCTGGCCATTCTCCTCTCTCGTTTCAAACACACACTCCCATAAAGGAATCCAGTTTGAACACAGATCTGAGAGAGACCGCCTGGGGTAGAGTCCTCAACAGTGGTTTATCAAGGCAGGGGTAGGGGCTGTGAGACCAACCCACTAGTCAGGGAGCTCTGTCACGCCTTTGTTTAGATTTAGTAGTCTTGGATGATAATAAAAAGCGGACTGGCTTTTAGTTTTATTATTTGAATTCTCTACAGACAATGCACTCCTTACTGCTTACACTTGGGTGGACATGCACCCCACCAACCCTCTCCTTATATCATCGGTTCTTTGTGTTTAATTTCTAAACCATGAAAGAAAATCAGCACACTTTAAAACTCTTTTATAAGATTGAGATTGTCACTTATGTGTAACTCTCTGTGATTTTACTGTCCATCTTCAAATGGAAAGAACGGCAGTATCTCACGCTATCAATGGATGTTTCGTGAGGCACAGGGTGCTGGAAATCTGTCTGTGTGTGTACCTTAGAGGGGCGGGGGACACATAAAAATAAAGAACAGGATGTGGAGAGTGGAGCCAGGAGGGCACATAATTAAAGCCACTTAAATAAAAAGGGAATGTATCAATCGCACTCTGGCAGCTTCTGTTTGCTTTGGTTCAGTTCAGTTCAGTTGCTCAGTCGTGTCCGACTCTTTGCGACCCCATGGACCCCAAGGCAGCAGGCCAGCCTTCCCTGTTGTTCTGTCTGCATGACTCAGTATTCAGGGCACTGTCTTTCAATACTTCTGGAATTCTCAGAATGTGTTACTTAACACAGAAGAGGTCTTACTTTATCACTGATAGTTGATGGAGGGCTTCCCGCCACCCAGCTCTGCCAGCTCCTTGGTGCAGGGGGGTGAATGTTGGGTTCTGAGGAAGGGGTGGTGGGCATGTACAGGTGAGCAAAAGTGCCTTTTCCCGAGGAGGTGGGAGCCTGGGAAACTGGGTGGGATTTCGTAGGCAGATGGGAGGCTCTTGGTGGAGTAGATGAACGCTGTTCATACAGCCACCAAGGGAGGATGCACTGCCGTCAGGGGAGGTGGTGTCCAGATAGGGTTTCCTGGAGGCAGAGAGTGTGGCAGACGTTCTTGTGAAATGATGTAGGGCGTGTGCTTCCCGTGAAACTTGCCAGGGAGGGAGGGAGGCAGATGAAGGAGGGGAAGCCCGCAAGATGCTGTCTCAGGTAGGGTCTAGCCTTGGGCTGTTACCCAGGTGTAACCACACATCACAGGCTCTGGCAGCTATGCTCAGGGGTGTCTGCTGTCTGCTGAGGGCAATTCTACGGAGCAGGGGGTGACCGTGAGCTTTTAGCAACAGATAATCGCAGCAGCTGAGTTTACTGGCTGACCAGAGGGGCTCTGGGTGAACATCACAGCTCCCCTGCATGAATAAGTAGACCAGACTCTCAGGCAGAGGGTGGGAGAGGGAGCTGGACCCGTGGGCTGGGCTGGACAGGTGGGTATAGAGTTCTAGGCTAAGGAGCAGGGACCTCACCCCGCAGGTAATGTCAACAGGTTGACAGTTGGTTTTTACACTAAGGTCTGGGTTGGTTTGCTAGGGCTGCCATAACAAAGTACCTGCGACTGGGTCACTGAAATGAAAGTTGTATTCCTTCAGAAGTCTGGGCGCTGGCAGCCTGAGAGCAAGTTTGGCTTCTTCTGATGTCTCTTTCCTTGGCTTGCAGATGGCCATCTCCTTGTGTCTTCACGTGGTCTTTGTTCTGTATGTTATTGTTTAGTCGCTAAGTCATGCCTGACTTTTTGTGACCCCATGGACTGCAGCACTCCAGGCTTCCCTGTCCTTTACTGCCTCCCAGAATTTGCTCCAACTCATGTCCATTGAGTCAATGATGCCATCTAACCATCTCATCCTCTGTTGCCCCCTTCTCCTCCTGCCCTTAGTCTTTCCTAGCATCAGGGTCATTTCCAGTGAGTTGGCTCTTTGAATTAAGTGGCCAGAGTATTGGAACTTGCTCTGTATGTCTGTGTCCTAATCACTTCTTCTTACAGGGACACCAGTCAGACTGGATTAGGGCCCGCTCATGTGACCTTATTTTAAACTAAGCATATCTTTAAAGACTGCAAGTACAGTCACATTCTGAGCTACTGGGGATCCAGGGGACCCAGTTTAGCTCATGCCACTATCTAAACTTGAAACAGCAGGTGGGAGGTGTTACATGTCTTTCGTTGTTTCTGTTTTTTAGTGGCTAAGTCATGTCTGACTCTTTTGCGACCCCCATGGACTGTGTAGCCCACCAGGCTCCTCTGTCCATGGATTTCCCAAGCAAGAATACTGGAGTGGGCTGCAATTTCCTTCTCCAGGTTTCTTTCTGACCCAGGAATCAAATCTTCGTCTCCTGCATTGACAGGAGGCTCTTTACCAGTGGGCCATCTGGGTTCTGGGTGAGGCTGGGACAAGGGTGATTCTGTGAAAGACTAACTCAGGAGATCTTTTGGAAGAAGCATCAAGAGGACTCAAAAAGCAGAGGAAGGGGCTCCAGAACTGAACTCCTTGCACTCAAATCCCATCTTTGCCTCATCTTAGCTGTGGGACCTCAGACAAGTAGTTAGTATTTCTAAATCTCAGTTCTAATTACTTCATAGTGACCTTTAGAAAAGTCTTTGAGTTAGGCGTAGGCAGGCAGGGAAAGTGAGCAGCAGATGTGAAATGTGGCAGTGACCTTGGGTGGTGATACCAGTAACAGAAATCAGACAGTCAGAAAAGAACCATCTAGGAGGCAGAGATGACAGGTCTTCTGAGCATCACTGAGTTTGATACGACAGAGGACAATTCAGGTGGATGTGTTCAGAAGGAAAGTGAACATTATTTCTAAGTATAGGCTAGCGTTAGTTCCTCGACCTCTGGAAATTCACTTAAGAAGGGACATGCTTCCTTTTTCTTTTGTCTACCTTCCTGTCAAGTTCCACTCACTGTGCAGTTTCGGGGGAGAGATGAAGGTGAAGAATGAGACATGTAGCTTCACTTCCAACCATTTTGAACAGACATCAAAATGCAGAGGCTGGGGACTTTGCTGGTGGTCCAGGGGTTGAGAATCTGCCTTCCAATGCAGGGGACCCGGGTTTGATCCCTGGCTGGGAACTACCATCCCACATTCCACGGGAAAGCTAAGCCCCCAGCTCAAGAGCCCTTGTGCCACAAACTACAGAACCCACACACTCTGGAGCCTGTGTGTCCATGAGCACAGCTAGAGAGAAGCCCGCGCACTGCAGCAAAGATCCCTTGTGCCTCGGCTAAGACTTGATGCAGCCAAAAATAAATAAGTACGTAAATAAATACTCTGAAAAAAAATGCAGAGGCCGTTTTACAGCTTAGCCGTAAAGTATCCCAGCGCTGAGTCCAGGGTTTTCAGAACAAGCACTCTGGTAGACCAGTGCTCCATACACTTTCTCAGCCCCCATCCTGGGCTTTGCCCACTGTGTTGTTCTGTGTGCCTGGGTGCCCACCTCTGCTAGGAGGAGCATCCCCAGTTCTTGTCAGTATCATTAATGTTGTTCCCGGAAAGGTGTTCATTGCTCTGTTTTTAGGCCGCCATCCTGGTAAATGAAGCTTATTGATTTAGAAGTAACGATCAGTGTTGATGTTTTGGGAAATACCTGTTCTGTGGAAATGCCCCAGTTTCCTTCTACTTCTCTTTGTGGAGAGCCTGGGTCCCGGGCCCCACGTCTTCAGACGTTGTCCAAGATGGTCAGGCTGAGATGTGGATCCGTTCCTTGCTGCAGAGAGCTGACAGGCTGTGTCTTAGGCACCGACGCCTGGGATGCGAGGATGATGCTTGGGGAGTCTGTCTCCCTGAGCCTCAGCGTCCTCCCCGAAATGGGTCTGTCGCTCTCTGAGCACTGATACTCCCATCCTCCCAAGCCTCAGACTCTATTTCACACTCTCACTCCCGGGAGGGTCTCCAACCATCATCACCTGGGTCAGACAGGGCTTCAGTGTCTTTCTCTGGCTCCCCAGGGCCTAGCACAGTCCTCACATGATGCTCCCCCCTGGCCTTCCCCAAATATCTTCATGCCTTGACTCAGATTTTCTTGCTGTTGTTCCTTTTGTTATTGTTGTTTAGTTGTAAAGTCATGTCCATCTCTGAAACTTCATGGACTGTAGCCTGCCAGGCTCCTCTGTCCATGGATTTCCCAGGCAAAAATGTTGGAGTGGGTTGCCATGTCCTTCTCACTGTTCTTTTACCAACCAGAAAGGGCTGATAGACTATAGGAGGGGTAGGATTGAAGGTCTCACAAGCTTTTAAAAAAATAGGTCCCCCGAGACCAATAACACGATTAAAGTGAAGCCATGTGAATTTAAAATTTAAAAAATTAGCTCGTGAATACTCAAACAGCATAAGGTTGTGTACTTACTGCGTGATGAGCCTGTGCTAAGCCTGTTACATGTGTTACCTCATTTAATTGTCACAGCTGCCCTTTGTTGCTACCACGCGCGCGTGTGTGTGCGTGTGTGTGTGTGTGTGCGCACTCACTGAGTTGTGTCCAACTCTTTGTGACCCTGTGGACTGTAGCCTGCCAGGCTCCTCTGTCCATGGGAGTTTTATGCTTGTTCCCGTTTATTCCCATTCTGTAGATAAGGCACAGAGAAGTTGAGTGATTGGCCTGGAGACAGGCAGCGCATCAGAGGTATAACCGGGATCGCACCCAGAGAGTCTGAGTTCCGAGGCCACACTCCTAGTCAGTGGTAGTGTTGTTAGCGATGAGTGTGAACTCACTCACCCTGTCCTCACTGCAGCCCTCCGTGAGAGGTACTGTCAATATGATTGCTTTTCAGAGGAGGAAGCTGAGGATTGGGAGTTGGTTAGAACTCCTGGTCCCCTGACTCCCAGGCCTCTGATTCTCACAATGCATCTAGCTTTTCAAAACTCTTGGTAAATGGTTTCTACATACTATGGAGTATTAGTCATAGAAAAGAATAAGCTAATGTCATTTGCAGCAACATGTATGGACCTAGAGATTATCAGACTCAGTGAAGTATGTCAGACACATGCCATATGATATCACTTAAATCTGGAGTCTAAAAAATGATACAAATGAACTTATTTACAGGACATAAACTCACAGGCAGAAAATGAATTTATGGTCACCAAAGGGGGAAGGGCAGGAGGGATAAATTAGTAATTTGGGATTAAACATATACACCCTAATATACATAGAATAACCAACAAGGACCTCCTGTGTGGCATAGGGAGCAATATTCAATATCTTGTAACAGCCTATAATGGAAAGCATCTGAAAAAAAACATTGTTACACATACATACATAGGTATAACTGAATCACTTTGCTGTCCGCCTGAAACTAAGGCAACATTGCAAATCAACCATATTAAAAAACAAAGACATTGTGAGTGTCTCAAGGAAGAATATGTGCTGAATGTTGCTAGTAGCTGCAAACACACAAATGGCCCAGGACCCTGTTTGCCCAGAGGCTGGTGTTGGTTTTGCGGAGAACGATCTCCGAGTTAACCCCACGCTTTTACACCCGCTCCCTTTCAGACCTCGCCTCCCACCACGACCACCCAGTCCCCGGACAGCACGATGGATGCCTCGCTGAAGAAGGAGAAGCCGGCCATCCTGGATCTTTATATTCCTCCTCCACCAACTGTCCCCTACTCGCCGCGGTAAGTCCGTGCCCACTTTTGTGATGTGCTCGTCTCCTGGGCCTGGGGATGTTGCGGGTGGTGGGGAGACCACGAGCATCTCAAGAGGAGGCTGAAGCTTGAATCCACTGTCAGAAAGCATCAACCTGAGTGGGGTCAGGAATGGGTGAAGGGGTTCAGAAAAGTACAGACTTCCAGTTACAGGCTGAGTCCTGGGAATGGACTGTTGGGGTCAACAGCATGGTGACTATTGTTAACAGTACTGTGTTGTGTATTTTGAAAGTTGCAAAGGGACTAGATCTTAAAACTTCTTATCAGGAGAAAGAAGGAATTAGTCTCTGTGTGGGGTGATGGATATTACCTAAGCTTATTGTGGTGATCATTTTGCAGTATACACATAAATCATTGTGTTGCACATCTGAAATAAATACAATGTTATATGTCAATTATATCTCAGTAAAACTGGGGGAAGGAAGTGTAATTCTTAAAGGGGAAGTGTAGGAAAAGATCCAGATCCAGATCTGGACCTTGAAGCCAGAGTTTGATGGGGAGGAGGTGGCTCATTAAAGTATGTGCTTTTGGGTCACATCATTTTCATTCTTCACTGGGCAGCAGAATGGGCTGTTTGGGGGTTCCCCGAAGCTGAAGTTTCATTAACTACATGGTAAACTTATCTCTGGGGAGGAAGATAATAAATATTTCTGCGAGGTCAAAGTTAGTTTTATCTTGCAGAAAGAGATATGTGTTCTTCATAGGAGTTAAAAAACGTGAAAACAGGTGTGAATGGGCTGTATTTGTGCATTCATCTGTGTTTATGTGTATGTATCTATTATGAATTCTTAAAGATCATTGCTTTCTTAATGGCTGTTTTAAATGTTTATGGTGAAGTGAGGATGGTCATGCTAGACATTATATAGAGGGTGATTGAGGTATGAAATACAGGCTTATTTATACCATCTGACATATTTACATATGCTGGTAAAACTAGAGATTCTGGCTCATTTATTCAACATACATTTCCTGAGAGTTGATTTACCACCTTATGCAAAACAGATGTCGTTCTTGCCCCTAGAGAACTGGCAGTGTCTCAGTCAACTGTTCAAGAATAAATTGAGAAATATGTAATCATGCTGTAATATTTCATAAGATAAAAGTTTGGACGGAACTTGTAGTGATGTTTCACTTTATATTGGAGTTTTTCATTTGTTTTTGTTTTAAGCTGAACTCTTTGCATCCACTGTGTTTCTTTCCTGGGCACAAAAAAGAAGTAACATCGTTTTCCTCCTCCTTGAGTCTTGGTTTGCCCAGAACTTATTACAGGTGGAGCAGTGACCTCAGTGATCAGGGCATTCTGGTTGGTAGGTAAGACTCTTCCCTGGATTCGCAGACCAGAGTTCCTCTGATTGTGGGATCTTAAGTGTACATAAGGAGCTGTTTGTTGCTTCTGCATGTGGAGAGCAGAGGGTTTCACTGATGACCAGCATGTGGACTGTTCTATCAGAAACTGTAGGGAGGATCACCCTGACACCCCTAATCCTGAATATTCTTGCCTGAGTCTCGGTGAGGGGGGTCACAAGAGCCATGGCAAGAAAAAGAGTATGCACATAGTAAGGGCAAAAGGGAACTGGGGCTTTTAATGTATTTGGGAGAAGACATGTGGGGACACATACATACATACAGAAAGACACCATTAATAAAGTATATTTTATTAGGAATGAAACATGCACATGGTCACAAGAACAAATGGTGAGTGTGGAAAGCATTGAGAGTGGGGAAGTTGTGTTCCAGGTTTAAAAGTATAGAAGGAGACAGATTCATGGTGGCAGTGAAGGGGGAGAGCTACAGGTACAGGTATTCACTGGGAATACCAGTAGGCCAGGCTGATCTTTAGACTGTTTGGACTTAGTAGACTCTGTATTTATATAGTAGTTTTGCAGTGATCCCCTAATGGAATTTACTAAATGTAAAAAGTTAACCAGCTGGTAACTTGGGCTCAACTAAAATTAATTTTATGTCTTAGTATAAGCTGACATTCAGAAAGAATTAAGTTGCAGGCAGTGGTCCAATTTTTGCTGATTTTCTGTACTTCAGAAGATAGACAGTTTCCATTGGTCACTGTAAAGGCCCCTTTGTGTTTTTTGACATCATTTTCAAATCGAACAACGGCCGTTTTACTTCAGGTGTCTTCTTTGCTTGATGTCAAGGATACTCGTCTTGGCTTGAGAAGAAAGGTTTGGTCATATCTTCGCTTGTGGTGTCTGTGGTAAATAGGAGATTCAGTTCTACTGTAGGGTAGGTGTACAGTGAAACCAAAGCTAGCTTTTCAAAGGTATATTTGTATCCTGTATATATGAAAAAGTCTCATTTCCCCTTATTTAGTAGGATCATTTTCTTTTATTTAATAGGATCTCTATGTATTTGAGAAGCAGCTGTGCTTGAAAAAGTATTGCTTTTTCCTCCAGAGGAAAAGGAGAATTTAACTTGTCTTCCGTGTGCTGCCAAAGTACGTCTCTTATAATTCTTTTGTTTGAGAGGATCTTCGTAAGCAACTCAATTATTGCCTTCCATCCTGCAGGGGAGAGAATGGGGGTTCTGTTTACGGACTCAGCAAATGTAAACAGCCACAGCCTGGTCCGAAGGGCTCCGAGTCCCCCAACTCCGTCCTGGACCAGGAAAGCCAGAGACGGAGATTCACCATCGCAGATTCTGATCAGCTGCCTGGCTATTCAGTGGAAACCAATATTCTGCCCGCGAAAATGAGAGAGAAAACGCCATCTTACGGTACGTTGCTGAGTGTTCATTTCTCTTCCCCTCCCCCTTCCTTATTTGGAACTGTTGGATGAATTTGGCAGACTTGAAGGGTAATCTGAGGAAAACATAAACCTCAATGAAATTCAAAGTATGAGACCTTTATTCATCTCTCCAAAGCCAAGGCTGGTTGAGTCATCACACCGCCTGGCATCCAAGCCCAGTGGGGTGAGATCATGTTACAGGTTTAACTTTCAGTTGCCTGCATTTCAACTTGCAGTTGCTTTGCTCTGGGGACCCACAGACTCAGGTTCAGCACGTCTCTGTCCTCATGGCGTGCTGAGGAAACCCAATGCTTTAAAACACTTTTTCCTTATTTTAAACTAGGTTTAGCTTACACTGCAGTGAGCATGGTATTGGGGTGGGGGACAGTCTAGTACTAAATAAAGGGTTCTCTGAAGTCCAGAAACTCTCAACTTCTCCTTTTTCTTCCCCTTCCTCTGAAGGCAAGCCCCGGCCTTTGTCGATGCCTGCGGATGCGAGCTGGATGGGCATTGTGGACCCTTTTGCTAGACCTCGAGGTCATGGGAGGAAAAGTAAGTTTAAGGAAATGGAAAAAGCACCAAACGTAAAGCCCAGGCCTTCGTCTCGGGCCTCTTCCTGAATGTGCTCAGTGACCACAAAAACCGTCTTCTCCTCTACATCAGGGCTGCAGAAGGCCTCCAAGGGTCTGCACATGTGTTGTTGTTCAGCTGCCCGGTCGTGTCTGACTCTGTGCCACCCCACGGACGGCAGCACGCCAGGCTTCCCTGTCCTTCACGGTCTCCGGGAGTTTGCTCAAACTCACGTCCATTGAGTCGGTGAATCCTGGTTAGCGCTTGTAAATCTCCTGATTAGTATCGTGTGCTTTACACAGGCTGTAGACGTCGACGGCCCAATTTCTAAGCAAGTAGAAGTACCTTATTCATTAAAAAATCCCATCCTCAATTTTGAGCTTTTCATTATTGGAGTCTGTCTGATTTTTGATGGACAGGCGTAGCGTTTTTCTTCCCCGTCCTTATATTAGAGAATAATTACTATTGAAAAAGAAACTTGTGTTTAATTTACCGTCTATTCCAAGTTACTGATGATGATGCTTCTCTTAAGGGAAATGTTGGCCCAGATTACATTTGATTGTCAAGACATCCTAACATTGATTTTGCAGTGCTGAAACAAACAGCTGTTGAAAATATAGACAGCAGGTAGGCCTGAGATAGTAAAAGGAAGAAGAAATAAATTCTGGTGCCTCAACTACCAAAGTGCTCAACCCCTGACATTTCCCTGGGACTTGGTAAAGTTTGTCACCTAAGTAGCTGAATCCTCTGGATGATACTAAATTGGAAAAAGGAAGAAGACGCCATCTAAGGTCCAAGACACCCTTAGCTGATGTGAAAAATCTGTGGAGCAGACAGCAGGGGGCAGGGCAGTCCTTTGTTTAGATCTGAAATGTCCACAGCCTTGTTGCCTTTGAAGCCCCAGATGTAGTCTTTTAATATTTGAGATACAGGGTGCAGGGGTGGGGAGTGTGAGGTTGGGAAAATGGAAAGTTATTTGACCTCAGTCCCACCTGCCACATTTTCCTGGTGTTATCATTTTAGAAGGAAAGTTATCTGCATAAAATAATGGACACTTCAGGAAAACAAAACAAAATACCACCTTTTTTTGGAGAGACAACTCACATACCATAAAGCTCACCCTGTTAAAATGTACAATTCAGTGGGTTTCAGTATATTCATAGAGTTGTAATAATTCCAGAATATTCTGTCACCTCAACAAAACCCTGTAAGCAGTCATTCCTCATTCCCACCTCCTTCAGCTCCTGGCAACCAAAAATCTTTCTGTCTCTTGATATACCTACTTAAGGCATTTCCTATGAATAGAATCCTATGGGCACTTTTAAAAAGTAACTTTTCCCCCCTTTGATTACAAAAGCAAAACAAATAGAAAATATAAGAAAACTTATCTGTAATCTGCTTTCCAACCTAGAAATAATCACTCTTGAGTGTTTTGTATTTCTTCTAATTGTTCCTATATTTACATATTACACACTTAGGAAAAATATGCAAAATGGAATAGATGGATGTTCAGAAATATTATGTAAGAGGAACACATACGTTTTTTGTAATAGTTGCATTAGTAATCTGTCTTATGGCAATGGTGGTGGTTTATTTGCAAAGTCCTGTGCAACTCTTCTATGACTCCATGGACTGTAGCCCACCAGTCTCCTCTGTCCATGGGATTTCCAAGGCAAGAATACTGGAGTGGGTTACCAATTCCCTCTCCAGGGGATCTTCCTGACTCAGGGATCGAACTTGTGTCTCCTGCATTGCAGGCAGATTCTTTACCATCTGAACCACTTACTCAGTTTGCTATGTTTGGACATTTGGGTTATTTCCTGTTTATTTCCTCTCAATTGTAAATAATGCTTCAAGAAACACCTTGTACATACATATTCCTATGCTTTTTTTTTTTTTTTTTGGCCAAATCTCACAGCATATGGGATCTTAGTTCCCTAACCAGGGATTGAACTGTGACCCCTGCAGTGGAAGAGCAGAGTCTTAACCACTGGACTACCAGGGAAGTCCCAATCTTCGTACATTTTTAGAAGTGGAATTTCTTGATCAAAAGAAGGCTGCCAGGATGCCCTGTATTTTACATTTCTATTTGATTTCTTACCTCCCCGCCCTGCTCCCCATCCCAGGGGGGCTGACTTTTAGGGTAGGATCATTCTTCCTCCTCCAGAAATGTCCCAAGCCTTGCAGAGCAGTAGAATCTTTGAACCCCACCCATTCAAGGTGGAGAGCGCCTGCTCCGCAGTCAGGGTGACAAGCAAGGGTACCCCTCCTTCCTGAATGCCCTTGAAGGGTGCTCCTGGCTAAGAACCACAGTTCCCAGGGCTGGTGCTCCAGGGTGCAGGCATTGAACAAGCAGATGTGGAAGGAGTGATAGCATTACAAGGCTTTCTTTGTTTTTCGATTTCAAGTGAAATTATGAAAATCCTACACTGATTAAAAAGGGCAGGCTTGCTGATTCTTCTCTGCCCGTCCTGTTACCTCTCAGATAGAAAAGCAGCCTGAAATGTGGATGTCTTCCATGTCTGCTTTCTTAAAGCCCTGCGGGGTGGGCCCAGCCGCCTGGGGAACCCGGTAGCCCATCCCCGAGTGGAAGGCAGGGTGCGGTGCCTCTTTCAGAAGCAGGGCAAGTCTGAGCAGTGGATGTGCGGATGACGGGTATTTTAATGGACTGCTTGTGGGCTTTATCCGATAACAGGTGAGGATGCCCTCTGCCGGTATTTCAGTAACGAGCGTATCCCTCCCATCCTCGAAGAAAGCTCCTCGCCCACGTACCGCTTCTCAAGGCCCGCGACCGAGAGGCAGCTGGTCCGAGGTGCAGACTACATTCGAGGCAGCAGGTGTTACGTCAGTTCAGATCTCCATAGCAGCGCCACGATTCCATTCCCGGAAGAAGGGACCAAAAAGAAAGCCGGCTCCTCGGCCGCCAAGTCCTCGTCTCCAGAACCGTCCCTGCTGGTCAGCTGGTTGACTCGCCTGAAACTGTTGACTCATTGAGCCCCGCACTTCCTGGGGCTTCCCAGACTCCTGCTAACAAGTGCCTTGTTTCCTCGGTCGGCAGTCTTGTTCTGATTTTCATCCACAGTATTATGTAGCGGTCTTACGCTATTTCGTGAGTTTCCTTTTTTTTTTTTGGAAAGTTGTATATTGCACTTCTTGGAATTTTGAAGTCATTGGATGGGAATAAATCCAGAGAATCTTAGATCAGATGCTGACTTGTGCCGGCCAAAGGAGAGAAATGGGGAGTCTGCCCCCTGCCCCCACTTTTTTTTTTGCTTCCTTAAGAGTCAGAACACAGAGATACACTCTCTAAAGCAGAGCCTTGGCCAGGAACGGTATGACCATTACAGAGAACTGGGCCATTGTTCGTTTTGAGGGTGGAACTACGATTGGTGGCCGCTGTCACACAGATGTGTTGGGTTTTGGTTCAAGTTCTTCACCTGAAAAAGCCAGTGGAGAAAAGTTTTGTTTTGATTTTTCAAGCTATATATACCACATGTGTACGTGTAGCAGCCTTGACCTTGAAATAACACGTGGGCAGCATCTGATGCTCTTTCAAAGCATCAGATATATACCATATATATATCAGATTTATACCTCCATCAGAGGTATAAATGTGGGCCTGTTACACTTGTTTAACGCTGTTTGCATAACAATCAGTGTAGGTCAGTTAATACAGAAACACGTGAAAACATTTAGATAGGGCTTACTACACACAAAGAAGTTTATGGTTATTTGTGAGGGGTGTCATTGTTGATGTTGTATATTATTGTTTTTAAGGGAAAAGAAGCTATAAGACTTGCTGACAGCCAAAGTCTCATTCAGAAAAATGAAGCAAGCATACTTAGGTTTATGAGAGAGACATCAGTTTGCATTTTAACCTGTTCAGTGGCTATCTTCCAGAAGAGAATGGATGGTTCTTCAAAACTGTACACATTTTGCTCATTAGAAACCTCTTGGAAAAATCTCACGGTCACTCATTTTCAACTAGCATATGGTATTTTGGAAAAGTGTGTCTGTGTATTAACTCTTGTTTAAACTGAATGTATGATACTTTGTTAGAATGGAAAAGTACTATCTTGTTAATTTAAGTGTTTTAAATATAGTTGTATATTTTTCTTACTCTTAATCACATGTAATTGGTATATTTCTGTTTTGTGTTCTACATGAAGCTAATGAAAAAGTGTTCAACATGTTTTCAGGTTTACCAGTGACCACCATGGCTATTGCCACCGTGGGCACTATTGTTAAAAAAGAAAAAAAAATAAATCCTCTGAAGCAATTTTAGAATTTTATGGATTAGAAATGGGGACCTTGAGCGGGCATGTGTGAAGTTTACATTTGGGGAATTTTCTGAGCTGTACCCCTGGACAAAGCTGGTATTTGTCTTGAATTGTATACTTTGCTGAACTGCCTGAAATCAGAGATTCCTTGGAGTTAGCAAACATCTTCCTTTTAAAATGCCTCTGTGTGATTGAGGGAGTTGGTGAACTTCAGGGAACTGGCAACCACTTGTGTGTTTGTGTGAATGAATTCAGTCAGGCTGTTTTGGTGTCAGCCAAATCCCAAAGGAACTGCAGTGAAGATACAGTTGTTTCATGGAAGTGACAAGGGGTTTGGCAAATGGAGGGAAGAAGAGGCTTGGAATGTGTGATTCACTGGGTGCTTGACAATACAGTATAAGGGCAAAGCCAGGGCGGGGTGGTCTGGTAACAGGGCACTGATGACTAGGAGGACTATGGAAAAGAGGGAGCACCAGGCCTGGCCTTTGTTTGTTGGCTTGGTTGGCTTTAAGCCCAGACAACAGGGGCAGGGGACAACTCTTCCTCTCACTCCTCAGCTTTAGGGGAGCTTTAGATCCCCTGAGTTATGAACTCAGTGGCTGTGGAGGTCTCAGCTGGAGCTCAGCCCCTTTGCTGTGGACTAAATGCCCTTTGTCATCAAGTGACCATCCTCAAGCGAATTTTCAGTGCCCAACTCAAGTAGCTGTACTAGATTGGTGTTTCTCAGACTGTTCCCTGAAGTCCTAAGATGGGGACTTTATTATCTCTACGTCTCTCTCCACCAAACTGAACGTACCTGTTTTGTGGGGCTTATAATCATTTTGTTTTTCCTCCCTGAAAATAAAGCAGTAGCCTCCTGGCCTGAAGCCCATCAATATTCTCAAGTTTCAGTTTATTAGCCCTCAGAGAACTCTTAGAGGTATTTATACTTACCTTTTCATCCCCCTAAAGAGCTGGTATAAGTAAATCTCTGATACTTGAGCATGTCGCTATTTTGCCACCACAGGCATAAATGGAATGATCATGCAGGCCTAATGTGGCTGTTTCCACCTGTTGAATATGTGGTTAGTACTTGCAGAGAGTGTTAAGTCACTCAGTCGTGTCTGACTCTGTGACCCCATGGACTGTAGCCCGCCAAACTCCTCTGTCCGTGGAATTCTCTAGGTAAGAATATTGGAGTGGGTAGCCAATTCCTTCTACAGGGGATCTTCCCGACCAGGGATTGAACCCAGGCCTCCTGCATTGCAGGCAGATTCTTTACTGTCTGAGCCACCGGATGTTGGTCACATTTTGCTTCTACCCTTATGAACAGAATCGCTGCATCATTTGCTTTGGGATGAAACTTCCGCCCAATTCTTCGTTGGAGGTTATTTGGAAGGTGGGCACCTTGAAACGGAAAAACCTCCTCTTGGTATGGGGTTGGCCAATGACATTTGAGGGCTTCCCTGATGGTAAAGAATCTGCCTGCAATGCAGGAGACTCGGGTTCGATCCCTGGGTTGGGAAGTTCCCCTGGAGAAGGAAATGGCAACCTACTCCAGTCTTCTTGCTTGGAGAATCCCATGGACTATACAGTCCATGGGGTTCCAAAGAGTTGGACAGGACTGAGCAACTTTCACTTTCACTGACATTTGATTTCATTCACGTTTGTAATTCCCCTGCTTGTGTGTGTGTGTGGTTTTTTTTTTCCCCCACTTAAAAGGCAGTTAAGCCATTTACTAGCATTGGGAGAGCATTCCTTTAAACAAAAAACTCTGAACACTAGACTCTCACCCAGTCTATGAAAACTTGAGACCAAACTCTCCAGCGTCTGCACACAGCTTAATCATGAACAAGAGCAAGAAGTGGAGTTAAATAAATTAAACCAAACTGTCCGGCTGCAAGGAAATGAAAACTGGGGGGCCGCTTATGCCCTCCCTTCCCTCCCCCTCCCCCTCCAAAGTCCTCGCTTTCACACTTCAGTGTTTCTGCTCTAAGAATGTGAAAATGCCCCAGTGCAGTACAAAACCGCTTCCCACTGTCTCTTAAGGCATCATTTAATTACCAATCGCCAAAGGCTAAGAAAATCTCATGGGAAAGGGGCGTACCCTTTGGCGCTGTGCGTGGTCTGTAGCTGAGGAGCCAAGTTCTTCAGACCCGACCACTGGCTGACACCTCCTTTTTCGAGGAGAGCGCCCTCACAAAACCTCAGGCTTTGGGGCTCAGCGTCTCCATCTGTAACATGTAGGCCTGGAGAGGGAAGACCCGCTAAGCTTGCGGATCGAGGTCGTCATTATACTCCAGCACGTGTCGCACGAGTCAGCCCAGGGGACGCGAAGGCCCCCAGGCTGCGCGCGACGAGGGTCAGGGACGCCGCGGGGCCCCGCGCACACGTGGCCCTGCCCCGGAATGCCACGGCGGCCTGGAGGTGCTTGTGCCACGCGCAGCTTGAGAAGCACGCTGGGCAGGGCAGAGGGTCGAGGCCGTGAGGACATCGCACAGTTCCAGCAACCCGCGCGGGCACGAAGCCGGAAGCGGTCACTCGCGAGACGGGGCAGGCGCCCGAGGGTTGCGCAGGCGCCCTGCACACCTCTCGCCCCGCCCCGCCTCGCGGCTTGGAAGCCTGCTGTCCTCTCGCCGCTGCAGCGACATCGTCCTCGCGACACACGCAGCAGCTCGTGGAGGTTGTGATCCCTGACCTCCCAATTCAGGCAAGTCCACCTCCGTCAGCAGCTTTGCTTTGCGGCACTTAAGTGTCTGCACCGTGATGCTGCTGGGATCCTGCAGGACCCAAGGCCCTCCTGCTTGTGTTATTTTTAAAAAATATGTTCATGCTGATCACCTGGAAGGTGAGTATTTAAAAATCTGCTGATGAAAAACTGGCTTAAAGAGTACGCAAGGCCGGGCTTCCCTGATAGCTCGGACGGTAAAGATTATACAAAACTGGCGTTTCTGATGTTTCTTCAAATATGTGGAAGACCTTGCGTGATGAGTCAAGCCCAGGAGGACCTTAATGCAAGTTTACTGATACCTAAAGGGCGTCATGGAGAAGGCAATGGTAACCCACTCCAGTACTCTTGCCTGGAAAATCCCATGAATGGAGGAGCCTTGTAGGCTGCAGTCCATGGGGTCTGAAGAGTCGGACACGACTGAGCGACTTCACTTTCACTTTTCACTTTCATGCATTGGAGAAGGAAATGGCCACCCACTCCAGTGTTCTTGCCTGGAGAATCCCAGGGACGGGGGAGCCTGGTGGGCTGCCATCTATGGGGTCGCGCAGGGTCGGACACGATTGAAGCGACTTAGCAGCAGCAGCAGCAGCAGCAAAAGAACTCAGATTTCCCTCATAGCTCAGTTGGTAAAGAATCTGCCTGCAGTGCAGGAGACTTGGGTTCGATTCCTGGGTCAGGAAGATCCCCTGGAGAAGGAAATGGCAACCTACTCCAGTCTTCTTGCCGAATCCGCTAGTCTGGCGGGCTACAGTCCATGGAGTTGCAAGAGTCGGACATGACTTAGAAACTTTCATTTCACAAAGGGACTCATAAAGTAGATTTTATAAACTAGAATTTGGGATTAGAAAATAAATTATTACTCTTCTTACTGTAAAAATTACTTTATAATTCTCTGGAAATTTCTCAAATGCTAAATTTTGACTTAGGGATTTTATTTATTTTTGGCAGGAATTGTTGCTAGAAGT